AATATTTAATAATTAAAAAAAGAATAAAAAAAAATAAAAATAAAAGTAATGTTATTTTAAATAACCGTAGGATTTTATTAATTATATTTATATTAATGAAAATAAAGTTTTATATGTTAAACGAAATAATTTTAATTATAATTATTAAAACTTTATAATTACCGTAACATTATAATATAATTACGACTTTTATTTAATTTTCATAATAATTTAAATATTATTATTAATATATTATATTATAAATTATATAATAAAAATGAAAATATTAATATATTAAAAATTAATTATATTTATTTCACATTTTAAAATAATAATTAATTTATTAAAATTTATTAATTTAAAAAATAAAAATAAAGTTATTTATAATTTTATAATTAAAATTTTTAACCGAATTTTTTCTAACCGAAAGTTTTCCTTTATAAATATATATAATTATATTTTTAAGTATAATATTTTTTATTATTTTTAAAAAAATTAAATATAATTATATTATAATATAATATATTTTATTATTTATTATTAATAAAATTATTTTTAAAAGCTTATTATTAATTATTTTAATAATAATAAATTAATTTTAAAATTAATAATATTTTTTTAAAAAATTAATATAAAACTTAATATATTTAATATATATTTTTATTATAACTTTATATTTAAAAACTTATATTTTTATAATTATATTTTTATAATTAAAATTATATTAAAATAAAAATAATAAATTAATTTACATGTTAATTTTTAAGAATTTTTATTAAAAGGATTATTTTATTAATTAATTTTATTAAAATAAAAATATTATACCTTTTTATTAATAAAGGTTTATTTTTTAAATATTAAAAATAATAAAATATATAAAAGAACCCCCATTATTTACATGGTTTTGTTTATTTTTTAAGAAAAGTTTTTATTTTTAAAAAAAAATTTAATTTTTAAAATTTAGGAAAATTTTAAATAAGATTTCTTAAAATAATTATAATTTATGTAGGTTAATTTTAATTTATTATATAAATTTTACGAGGACGTAATATTAAATATAAAAATATAAGATATTTAATTAAATTAAAATTTAATTATAATTGTTTATAATGAATTATTTAATAAAAATAAGAAAAATAAAATAAACGAAAAGAAAGAAATAAAATTAAAAAAAAAACAAGAAATTTAAAAACTTGCTATTTTTTTACGCAACATCGGTTAATACGTTTAAAACTTTTATAAAATAAAAACGCTTATTTTTAAATTTATAATAACATAATTAATTAAAACATTTAATATTAAAAACATAATAAAAATATTAAATTTTTTTATTACATTTAAATTTAATTATTATTATTAAATATAAAACGACTTAAATTATATTATAATTATATTTATAATTATAAAACATTAAATAAATATCATTATAAAAAAAAATATTAAAGGTTAAAAAAAATAATTAAAATAAATTAACTTTATAAAATTTTAATAAATAATAAATAAATTAAATAACATATTATAATAAAACATATATAATATAAACTTTTTTATATATAAAAATAAAAATAAAACATTATTTAAAATAAATAAAAATTTTATTATATATTAAAATTTATTATAAAATTATTTTATTTTTATATATTTTAATTAATTAATAAAATTAATTATTAAATACCACTTTAATTAAATATAAGTTAACATTAATATTATATTTATAAAATAAAAAAGCTTAAATAAAAAATAAATAATTTTCTTAAATATTATTTTTTATTACTTTAATTTAATTAACGTAATTAAAATAAAAAAAATTAATAATATATTATTATTATAAAACTTATAATTACTTTATTACTTTAAAGGTAAAAATAAAATAAATAAAAACGTTATAATTAAAACTTTAATAAAAGCTTTTAAAAATAAAAAGTTATAAAAAAAAATTTAAATTATAATTATATTAAATAACGTAAGGGTATATATTAACGGTATTATTATTCATTTTATTATAAGATTATTTATTATAAATAAAAAAAAAATATCATTAGTAAAAACATTAATATAAAAAGAAATTAATATTTTAATTATTAATAAATATAATATAATATTAAATAAAAATTTATATAATATTTATATTAAGTTTTAATAAATATAAAGTTATTTTAACGAAAATTTTAATGGAATGTTAATAATTATTTTATACGGTAATTTTTATTAATTTAAATTAATATAAAACATGTTTTTATTATATTTAAAAAAAATAAATAATTAAAAAAAATAAAAATAATCGGGAATAAATTTTAATATAAAAAATAATAATTAATATTTTAAATATTAATTATTTTAAAAATTTATTAACGTTATTATATTAAATAAATAAATAAAAATAATAAATTTAAATTTTATTATTATATTTTAATAATTTAAAAATAATATATAAATTATAAAAAATGTTAACTTATTAAATATAAAATAAATATATTAAAAAAATATTATTTTAAATTAATAATTTAAAGTAATAATATTATTAAATTTTATACGATACGTTATTAATTTATAAATAATAATAATTTTCGTAAAAAAATAAAATTAAAAAACTTATATTTTTTTATCCGAATATAAATTTTAATTATTAAATAAAGTTATAATTATTTAAAAAATATATAAAATAATAAATAATTTAATAATAAAAATATTAATATATATATATTTTATTTATAAAATGTTTTTAATATTAATAAAAAATAACTATTAATTATTAAAAATAATAAATAAAATTAAGTATATTATAAAAAACTTTATATTAAATTTAAATTTTTTTATATATATTTTAAATAAAAACATTATATTAATAACTTAATTATTTTTAATTATTTTTATATTTTTAAAAATAATAATAAATATTTAAATAAACGGATTAAAAAAAAAAATTTTATTATTATTTTTTAAATAAATAAATATATATAACCGTAAAAAACTTTTTATATATATTAATTATATATTAATACTTATATTTATTATAATAAAATTTAAAACTTAAAAATAAATATTAATGAAAATATTTTTTAATTTAATAAGTAAATAAATTTTTAAAAAAAATATAAATTTTATAATTATATACGTATAATTATTAAGAATTATTTTTTTTAATAAATTTTATTTTTTTTTATTTATTAATTTAATTTATTAATTAAAATTATAATTATTAAATAAAAAAAAAAAATTAATTAATTATTTATATTAAAAAAATTAATAATAAAAAATTATAAAAATATAATAAATTATATATAATATTTTTTTAAATAAATTAAAATTTTATATTTAATTTAATTATTTTAATTTAAAAGTTAATTAATTATTAAATTTTTAATTTAATTTATATTAAAAAATAAATCCAAGGATTAATTAAATAAATATTTTAAATAAATTTTTTAAATATAATTCGTACGTAAAATTTATTTTTTACCGTTATTTTAAAAATTTAAATTTTATTTAAAACTTATTATTTATAAATAAATTATTTTAAAAATTATTTATATTATATTTAATTAATTATAAAACTTTAATAATTAATTTTAATTAATTAATAATTAAATTTTTAAATTATTTTTTTTATTTTTACATTTAATTAATAATTATATTATTTTAAAATTATTAATGTTATATAACTTTAAAATTAAACTTTAAAAAATTATCGCGATAAAAAATTTTTAATAAGGAATTTTATTAAGAGCTTAAAAGTTTAAATCCATAATATCCCTTTGTAAATTTAAGGTATATGTAATTTACTTGAAAGTAGTCCGTGACTAGGGTGTTTGACTTACCTGAGACTTGTTTAAGAGGGCAATAAGAAATGAGTTCAGGTCCTGAATCTTATAAATTAATTGTTCGAATTTATCTTTATCTGTAGTCGCCCAGATAAGTCGTTTTGGTTCAACGACTATGGTCCGCAGACTTCTACCTCTCCGAAAGATACATTTACCGAGATTGCGAAGCCTGTCTAGACCTGTCAGTTTCGCCCCCTTCACTTGATGTTTGTCCTGGCCTGGGAGACACAACATGTCTGTTATGTCTAACTGTGTCTGATTATCCCCATTCTCATGGATATGTTTACAGGCCATTGATTTCGCGTATTTTCCATTTTCTAACGTGAATATCTCCATTGCGGTTTTAATTTCAGCCAGGATAGATACAAGGAGAGGGCGGTGGACTCGGAGAGTGTCGCAGAGTTTGCGATCAGCGTCAAGGATACCAGCTTCGATACCAAAACTCAAGAAGCGTTGCTGCTCCATCTGAAGGCGCAAGCAAAGGAAATTGTGTGTTTCCGGCATATTCGCTGCCTCAGAGATCATCTTAAATCCTATCACTAGTTAGAACAATATCATAAAAGGGTGAAGTTCTGTAACCTTTGATGCATTCATCTGCCATCTGCATGATGAGGGAAGATACGCCCACAGCAACTCCCAGGATTGACAACGGGTCTGCCATAGTATAAATGGAAGTAAAGAACAATAAAAAGCGGTGCGATATTTAGTGATGTTAAACCAACTATGGGTACTTCAAATCGATACTTTTATGTTTCTAATGGTAAGTCTTATCAAGGTAGGTAAACTGCTGTTTAGCAGACCCCAAAATTGCGAACCCAATAGATGTTGACACTACATGAAGATGTAGTAGGTACCTATGCATGCATTCTGTTGCGCCTCTGGTTGAATCAAATTACCGGGCGAGAAAAGCTGCCTTACCTTGTGGCAGTAGGCAACTACTTCATCATTAGGTAGGTACTGAATATGGAATGGCCGTTTCGCATTTGCGTGTGACCATGAGAGTAGAGAGAGGCCAACGGGGCAACTTTAATGTACAGGTAAGGCATATATCTACGGCGTCTTGCCTGTGCCAGAAAAGGGGCTTTGTAGAATACCCCACACGGTGTGGACATCATCGTACCCAACCCATACCATAGCCCCTGAGAATACAAAACGACGATGTTACGTATTTCGATATTTTATCATTGTGTAACTGACAGAAAAGGGACAATGCGGAAAGAAGCCGCAGTATTGAAAATAGCCACGAGTCAGCATACAGCAAGGTGATTTAGGACCACTAGGCGTTTTATTTCATTGCCCCCGAAGGCCCATACGTTGCCGCCCACGGGTCGTAATTCGGAGATAACATGAGCTCTTGCATGTGCCGCCTTCTAATTCCGACGTTACCACCGTCAAATATTGGCAGCCCAATCGCATTTTTCAACAACTCGGCAAAAGGTTGCTCGACATCGTAGGCAGTCCTAGGCGCTTAAGTTAGTACATCTCAGGAACAGTTATGATAGGTCTCGGAAATTTTTCAACATACACTCCCACCGCATTGATAGCCTCCGTTACGACCTTGACAGCAGCATCGCTGCAGTACACCTTAGCAGCCAGAGCCAATTCCCTACGAGCATCGTAGTCTCCTGGCCCGTTCTCCATAGCATGCGCCGCCTTCCAAGTCAGCGCTCGGCACGCCTCGGTCTGCATTTTGATGCTGGACAGCAGGTCGGCGACCGCTTGGCGCTCGAGCAGCGGCACCTTCCCACGCCGATCGTCGCCTTTTGCGAAAGCTAGAGCCGCGTCGAAGGCCGCGCGCATTATCCCCACACTCATCGCTCCGACGAGAACAGCAGTCAGATCGAAGGCTCCTGAGACCACCGCAGCAGCCTCGCCGGGCGGGCAGAGCATGTTCTTTGCGGGGACCCGTACGTTCGTGTACTTGATGTGATGGCCTGGACCTGACGCCGTGTGACCAAGAAGCGTCACTTCGCGCACCACTTGGAAGCTCTCATCGCCATTTCGCTCAAGATCAGCCCGCGTGACTATGATCAACATAATGCGGTCCTTAGGATCAGCATCGGGGTTTTCAGCCGGTTCCGTCACGTCTCGGCAGACGACACAAGCCAAGTCAGCGCCTCGATTATCCCAACCTACGCTATTGGTAGCCCACTTCTTCTCTCCGTTGATAACCCACTCGTCGCCTTCGCGACGAGCCGTCGTGTTGAGGCCCGGCGCACCCTTTTCCAAGTAATTAGCCACGCCGCCAGGCTCGCTGAAGACTAACGACGCCAGGGGAGTCCCCTCGGAGCTAAGGAAAGGGGCGAGGAATTCGCGATGCTCGGGCTTCTGCGTAAGATTTAGAGGCATCAGACCAAGCGCCGTCCCGAATATGGTTAGAGACGCGGCGGGCTCTACCGAGTAGAACTCTTCCACCAGAATCGCGGTCTCGATAAGAGAGCCGCCGGTGCCTCCGAGAGCAGGTGGGATTTGGCCCTTTATCATCCCTCCGGCACTCGCGGCGGCGTACGCTTTACGAGTAACCTGGAACTGCTCCTGGGGACTCTGAAGTGATATGTACTCCGCCCGCATGGGCTTGAGAACGTTATGCGCAAAGCTTACGGCGGCATCGCGGACGCCCGCCTCTTTCGGGCTGAGATGGAAATCAACCGGCATTGTAACTTTATATGAAAGGATATAGTATAATTTCTGAATGTTTAGAAATAAGGGTACAGAAAGCTTTGTGCGGAAATACTCTTGAAATACCTTCGAGGTACATGTTGATGAGTAAGGGAGCTGAGAAAGCGGAGAACCTTAGCTTACTGAGCGATTGATCCATATTGGTGCCTTCGTAACGGTATCCTTTTTTTTTTTTTTTTTTTTTTTTTTTTTTAGAAAGGTGCGTACACTTGATTGAGTGGCAACTAGCGTATGCTGCCGGCGCCCATATCGATCGAATAACTCCTATACCTACAGTCAGGTTGAGATAGTTACCAAACCATAGGCAAATTTGATCATATAATCGATTTATCACTTTATCGCAGAGCTCTCTAGACGACCTTGAGCTCCGCTTATTTGGTTGAATCTACTAGTTAGACCATAGTTTGCCTATGCTGACATTGTTCTAACTCGTTTCGAACTAGGTGGTCAGAATCCTATACTAATAGCTAATTATACAACACGAATCTAGATCGCCGCGGTTTCCCTTGTCAGCCAGAATCCCGAGTCGTTGCTGCTTTAATTTGAGCCATCCTGAGCCGTGGTGAGGCTGGCGTTGGTCAGCGGCACAGCTGGAGCCTCGTTTTCGGCTACCCCCGGCAAGAGTTGCATCGCAGAATCATATAATGGCACAGAGGTTCTTTGACTGCTCGGTGTCTGAGTGCGGAAGACCGAGTGCACGCGCAGTAGGAGCCGGGTGCGATATGTGCAGCAGCTACTTCTGTGGAGTCCATATGTCTAGGGATTTCCACAAGTGCAGCCTCGGAGTAAGCGTCACCTAGACATATTATACCACTCTGTGCAATCTTTTCTAACTATGGTACCTTATGGAGGACCTAGATGATGCGGCCTACAACACGCTCATTGTCGCCGAAATTGGCCGCGTTCGTGCTCAGATTAACGAGAAGGCAGTCTGTGAACTCGCTTCTAGCTTAAATGATGGCAAACCTTGCATCATTGAATACCCTTCAAAGGTTGTTGGGCTAGGCGCTCTTACGGGATGTGCCAACTACCACGCCCGTATTCGCTTCGGTGACGGATCCCCGTCGTGGCTCATGCGAGTACCGCGGGTTTCAGGCTTTGCCGTCGGGTTCCCCGTTTCTCTCGCAGAATACCTGATCCGCAGCGAGTATGCAACCCTAAAGTTCCTGGAAAAGACGGCGGTACCGGCCCCGCGGGCCTTCTCATTCGGCATCCCGTCTCAAGGTACCGACCATGGTATTGGGGTCTGTTTTCTTCTCATGGAGGAGTTGTCAGGCGAGCCGTGGGACGGTCAAGGAGATACCGCCAAGATCTGGAAGGGTCTCGCCGACATCTTTGTGGAGTTGGAGAAGCATCCATTTACTAAAGCTGGGTCTCTATATGTCGAGTCTCCTGACGACTTACCATCGGTCTCTGCTACGGCCAGTGATAGATTCGTCTGTCTTTACCCCTACGGGCCGTTTGAGACTTCGGTGGCATACTATACGGCCTGGGCAGAGCAGTACCTGGCGCTGATTGCGGACGGTCAGCTTTATCCCGAGTTTCCTATCGAAGCCTACTTGGTATATCGATTTCTCCAAGATAATGCGACCCAGTTATCCTCGGAATCGGACGAGTTCTTCCTGAAACATGTCGACGATAAGGGTGATCATCTGATGGTTGACGAAGACCTTAACATTACCGGCATCATCGACTGGCAAATGGCGCGTATCGTTCCGCGACGGGAGGCATTTGCGCTATCCCTCGTATCCGCCGATATGAGAGCTCTCTGCGAAGGTAATGTCTCGCTTAGTACAAAAGATGTTGCATTGAGCAAAGCCTTGCGCGAGAAGGGGTTGGGGCTGGCAAGCCACATGGAAGACGAGAAGGTGAGGAGATTCTTCTGGGGCTTGGGGCTCGAGTCCAAGTGGGATTATGCGCTACCATTGGCAAATGCTATCCTTCAGGTCTTCGGGGTCGAACAGGGCTGGGATGAATGGAGGGAGTTAGCATTGAAGCAGTATGAGGGCGATGAACGCCTGAAGGCTCTTGTAGAAGGGGCTTCCCGGGAATAAATCATTAAGAAACAAGTGCGAGCGAGGTGTTCCAAAGAGCCGGGCAGAAAGATATCTGTACATATGAAGATATGAGACGCGGGGATAGCTGCTTGGCAATGACAGAGAAGACGGAATTAGAAGAGGCGAGAGGAGGGTGCTGGCACGTTTAAATCTGCAACGGCCAGAGAAACCATGAACGAGAGGGTAGGTAAGCTGGACCAAGGTATTGTTGCTGTGACATTACGGTTTTCGGACGTGGGACTCATTTTCGGCCACCTAGGGTGGAGTTGAAGCAATTCCCAATCTGCTGCGGCACAGCTTCTTAAATGGATGGCCGGAGTAAGCAAAGGTGACTGAGCAGTTCTGATCAAAAGCAGCGAGAGGTCACGTTGCCCAAGTGGGAAGGCTGCCGTCTAGATTCGTTTTGTCTAGCAAAGAGACATCAGCTTCAATGTCAGTAAGTCTCTTATCATATTCATATTCATCATGAGGTTAAGGTATGCTATATAATATGCCCAGATATCCATCAATGTTGATCCGGTCATATAGACATCAATACAAGTTTGTATAATTGTGAAGGTAGAAGAAAAATGCTAAAAGAAACAGATACAGCCCCATGCCACTCTACCCCTTCTAGGCAGATATCGAGCGGATTCGTTTATCAAACAAGCCAAGCGCCTTGAAGATGTCTCCTATCTTTCCAACCAGCGTTCACCGTCTCGAACCTCGGAAGACAGAAGAGTCCCCTCTAGAGTTCCCACGTCCCGAACTAGGCCCTCCAGAAGTTTGACCTCTGTCCCGTCGCCCATCGTCGGCGCTAATTCCAGGGACACCCAGCATTCCAGTTGCGCCGCATCGGTTACAGTGGACTCGGCTGTGGTAGTTTAGTCAGCGATCTCCTTAGCATGCGGTTGTTGTTAAGGGGTTCTCGTACTCTCTCGGGTTGCCTTTGCAGTTCGGGCATAGAGAAGGCATATCTCGATTCGATCCCAGGCCATATATAGCCCTATCTTCGTCCATAGAATAAGAACCCGTGTAATATCCGCACGCCTGTTGTGTTTGTTGAGCCATTGCTAAAGTATTATGGTACTATTATGTGAATCTTTGCGAGGTGTCAGGTAATTGTTTTGATTTAACCTCGCTGTTAGTCGCGTTTTCATGTGGATAAGGGGCTGGCATCACTCGTTTTTATAAGAGGAAAAAGTCTACCATCGAAACACGACAGTGATCACCTCCAACTCATCCGACAGCAATTCCATTCCGAATCTTCAGACTCACCGCCTCATCTAGAGCCGTTCGTCTCACCACACGACATGGCCAACTGACCACAAAGAAATGTTGCGGGAAAACGTCAGACGACAAAACACCATCACGACCCTTCCGGTCGGATTCCAGAAAGAAAAGATAAGGAAGCTACCAGCATTAAATGATTCACTTTCAATGAGCTCCAATCATGCGAACTGTCGTGTTGAGGCGCTCATCGGCTACGGCTTATGATCCCAGTAATTAGACTAAACTCGATGACCGGGTACGACACGAGATCTACGGATCAAACGAATCTAGGCATCATATCCTCAAAGGTACATCCATTATTCCTCCGCCCGATCTATACCTGGTCGCCGAACCTTAATCCCTGCCGGTGTCCCGCGATATGTTCCCGCTAACACCCTCAGATCTGAAAGAGATCTATGCTCGGCGACCCGTGGGAGATTATATGAGGGTACATTTGGGGCGCGAAAGGTTGACAATGTTGACGTGAGTTGCAAGTCCCGGGTTGTTGGGAGCACGAGCTCTATTCGGAAACTACGTGGCCTCCATGGGTTTGTGGGGGGGAATAGGTCGTTACCTATTACCCAGTAGATGCGGATCGGCTACCCGCAGCATGCAGAATCCTGCTTCGGACCGGAAGTTTATCTATCCATCCGAGTATGCCCCGGGTCCGTTACCGAATCTAGGGCCTAACTTGGCAGAAACCCGCTCCCGACGGTTCGGTTCTCGTAACACGAACAGGGGGTAATGGGAAGCGTGAACTGTGGATAGATCCTCGGTCCGCGCTCCCATAAGAAAACACGTAGCTGCGGGTTTCCCTGTCTTGTGGATGCGAACTATCAAGCCATGTTACTATAGAATGCGTTTTGATTTACCTATTCGCCGACGTAGTTGTGACGTTATCAGCCTAGCAGTGCCAATAATAGCATAATTCCTGCTTGACAACTGGGTTGATCGGATGGTGAAAGGGATCTTATCATTTCAATATATATGAAACCGTCGTATGAGCCATCTATTCTACGAATAGACATATGTGATCATATATTGTTACCGTTATCGGTCTCTAGCCATCAAATTAACATTAGCATCCTGCGATCAGGGCTCTCTTATCCCAAGCTTCAAGTCACCATGGCTCTGTTCTCCTGATCAAGTTTAATATTCTATTGGACTGGGTCGAAATGGGTGCAACCTCGTAACATGCTACTTACCGTCATAAATTGTTTCCGTTGACGTCGGGAGTCTTTCAGCCTACACCTCACTATATCTCATGCTTTTCATCTCTACAATTAATTTGCTGTGGAATGTCACACCTCTTGATTAAAGGATTCAACGGTGTCTGGGCCATGAGACAAGAGATAATACATCCAAGAAGTCTCTTATCCGATCATGGCGCTGATCATCCTGTCAAGCTTCCCATCAGCAATTGGTTACGAAGGATGATGGTGAAATAAAGGGTAGACAAGTCAGGGGCGCTCTTGGGACGGACCCAGCAGATATGGCGACATAGAGCACCTGATAACTTTGTTAACATTACCCACGAAATTTATATTTTACTCTAGGATATCATTGACATTCTTCAGCAAATTGCTTGTTTGGATCTGTGCTTTCGTTTGATTCCCATCAAGGCAATCTCCACACATCGATGGATGTACGTCAGGAGAAATCAAGCACATGTCGCAACTAAAGAAAATAGCCCTGGAGCAGACTGACGGGGCGACTTGAGAATGAGGGAGATATGGGTTTGGGATTTATTCACCGATCGTTTCAATATCTGTGCCATGGACGAATTATTAAAAGCGATTCGCATTAGTTGCATAGTATGCTAACCTGCCGATGGAGCTAATCACGTAAACCCATTGTCAGGGCCTGAACACTGGGGAAAAGAAAGCGGAGGTGAATCAAAGCAACCTCGGACTCAGCCACCAGCCGTGCAAGCCCATATAACCCCCCTTCCGTAGAAAATGATGTTCCGTGAATCGTCCCTTACCACCACCAGACAAACGTAAGTGGCATGTTCTTAGTTCAACCATCCTCCGAAACAAAGGAACCTTGACGCCACTTCCGAACCCACCTGCGCCATTTGCAATATGGTCATAACTCCTAGGAAATCGAAATGGTCTTGACCTACATCCGTGACCTGGTTAGGAGTTGTACAACCGCCACCATAACATCCCCAAAGCAGGCACAGTAAGTTAAATTGATGCCCGTAACTTCATAGACCAGGTAATAATTACAGGACAGGTGCAGTCGATACCATGAAGGTGAATGCGGCAGCACCTCCGAGAGCGACGCAGGCCGCTGCCTGGGCAAAGCGGCGTCTCTTTGATGGTTGGAGATAGTCTGGCCGTTTGGTAACAGCGACAGGCTCCGCCTGCATCCCACTTTGTGGTGGAATAACCTGGAAAGCCGAGTCTTCATTAGACACATCTGTACATGCGGTCGAATTTCCCAGTTGCTTGTTTGTGGGCTGGGCGTCATGTGTGTCGCTCAAATGGATGCTAGCGTCGCTTATGTTACCATTTACTCCTGGTACGACGGGCTCATCACTGAAAGCGTCGTCAAAGGATCGCTTCAAGTTAGGTTCCTCCGAGGCCTGGCGGGGTACCGAGAGCGTGAATGGCGAAGCTGTCGTGGCTGGCATAGGCAGTGCGTCACGAAGCATTTCGAGTCGGTTCGCCTCTTCCACAAGGAGATCTTTAATTCCAACGCGTCTGGGTTGCTGGCTAGTGCGGTTCTCGGTCGCCATCTTGCTTAACTGGAATGTGTATGCACTAGTCATGTCGAGTTCTGGACTCTGGGGTCGTTCGGAGCGTGAATTGGGAAGATCCTCAGTTCGAGGATTGTTGATGAATCTTTCCCCGGAGAATGACCATACGGGGCATGAGAGCTCCGGCTTAAGCCATACAGGTTCTTGCATCTGTGTATCGTCGGGATTGGTATTGGGGAAAGTCTTGGAACCTAGGGTAGGGACCTCCTTCTCCGTGTGGTTTGCTCGGAACTCATCAACAAAGGCCTGCGCAGGATGAGGAAAGGACGAATGCGAAACCTGGTCTACCTCCACACCACTAACTTGATGATTGACGTCTTCGCCTAGAGTCTCTCTCATATGCGAAATAGGTGGCGGGGGGAGATGGTCCACGAGGCTCGTACGATTACTCTCTCTAGCCGCGAAAAACTCGTACTTGCCCGACTTCTCACCAAGAGCCTTGGCTCTAGAATCGTTAGGAGTGCGGTCAACCATGGGGTGACTCTTGAACATCGCAGCATCCGACGGACTTGGTTCCCGGGGATGAGTAACCGGTGTCTCTTGCTGTGTAGGAGCAGCAAACAAGAACGGTGTGACAAAAGACTGCTTATCATCGGAGGGTTTGGTCGGAATATCCGCGGTAGCCGTTGCTACCGCAGTTAGTGGATGCTCAAGCAAGCCAGGCACCGGAGAGCTGGCATTCGACGCAGAGTCTGCTGAACCCTCACCCGACGATGAAGTACCGTCGTCCGAGTACGGCAAATCATCAACGCCTAAAAAGGGACATGGTTGTCAGTCTCTTGAGAATATTGTGTATAACATATTGTCAACTGAGCACTTACTATCATCGTCCTCCCAAATAGTGAATCTCTCATTATTGCCGTCATTATGCCTAGAAGACACAGACTCGTCTTCCCAGCCATAGCGATAGGAGACAGAACTTGAAGAACTATCATCCTCGTCCTGGTCCTCGTCTGTTTCTTCACTCGCAGCATCCGACCTATCAAGAGAATATCTAGTGATAGCCGAATCATTCTCGGAGTCTGTCAATCGGATATCATCACTATTCATTTCCTCGTCGTCTTGATCATGGTAGGGTAGATGACAATGGTTTTGATCAGAGAACTGATCCGGTACGTTATCAAGAACCGCTGGTTTGGGGGAATGGGATGTGGCCGTTGGCAAGTCGGGCACATAGCCATTGATCCTAAAGCTACTAGCTCCAGGGGGAACGACAGCAGGGATGAACGGACCAGCTGTCGAAGAAAAGGCAGAAGAATGACGGTTTTCTACTACATTCATCTCATGGTCCGAATGCTCCTCGGGCTCCGAGGTTAGGTCGATAACATCAGAGTTGAGATTGTTGTGAGCTGTGTGGTCGTCAGCCTCGTCAGTGTCATCTCGAGTTAAGTCGATTGATAGACCACGTTGACTATCGTCCTTTCGCGTTGGTGGCATAGCTGTCTCAATGACACTATCATCGTCGTCCTCATCATCATCTTCAATATCATCCGGAATGGTGAATACTCGATTAGTGGACTGGCTAACACTTGGGATGACCCGAAATTGCCTGCAGCGATGAGTTAATTAGTGAGCATTCGGCAGCTACAAATGAGACCCTGAACTTACGGCACTATGCGTGCGTCCATATAGAATTCGAGCAAGCATGGAGGGAAAGTCGTTGCGGCTCTAAAGATGTCGGTACCAAACCGAAGCAAGTCGCCGTCCGATAGTCTGACTAGGCTATGCTGTTCCAGCCTTAACTCCTTCCCAGTTCCGTCCTTAGGAGTATGGAAGGTCCCGTGAAGAGATCCGATGTCTTGAATGAACACGCCCTATTCTTTCAGTTAGAATACAAATCATGAGGATAAGTGCCCAACTACCAGTTTGTCCGGTAAGCTTACCTTTGGTGTACCACCATAATCGAAAAGAAGTTCAGCATGCTGTCGGGACATGACTGGGCTATCAAACCAAGCATTGTTCTTCGCGGCAACGAAGCCCTTAGCTGGGACTTTAGACGCTCGACCGATTCGGATAGAGGGTCTCTGGCGGTCGAGGATAAATTCACGCTTGAATTCGGAATCTTGCAGGCCAACGGGTCGTAAGATCAACGTGATAGCAACAGCTAGATTAGACACATATTAGTCGGATGCAAACAAGACAGGCGGAGAATAAACAATCCTCACCTTCGTCCTCTTCAGGACTTGAGTTGTTGATGGTCGCCATTTCGTCCGGTTCTAGAAGCCGGCGGAAGAACAATAGTTGGTGGTTGCCGAGCCTTGAGTGCCGAATGAACGCCTCGAGACTATCGGATGGTTCCCAGTTATATGGCAGGATAAATCGGAAACATAGGGTATGCGAATTTAATGGAAAATGAATGACTCGGTGATATTGAACGAGTTCCCCAGATCGCCGACGTCGTTGAGGTTGGAAGATGAGAGAGTGAGGAGTGGGAAAGATGGGAGTGACGAGGAGGTAGGAGGGGGAAGGCAGTTTCGGTGGAGCTGCCCAGGTTCCAAGGTTGGTTATGTGTGTCAGAGAAGCTAAGAACCTGAGAACGTGCGATTGCGTTTAGTACATATAAGAGGTACATAACAGTTGAGAGCATGGACGGTCCGTGGTACCTACCTGTACTGATTGGCGTGTCTCCCACCTTAAGAATACATCAAACGTATCGACGTTAATGGGCAGGTGCGTTACGATTGGCGGGGCAGTCGTTAGAGCGCCAACCTTGTGGTAAGCGGGCAGCGGACAACGTAAGTTTAAGAGAAGGAGTTGCGGTGAATTGTATAAATTGAAAATGTCACCTAGCCTTGCTGAGAATATGCCTCAGATATCCAACCGCAGTCTATCGCAGTTCGTGGTATCTTTGGGAAGCATGAAACCTCGGGCTTACATCTGGAGATGATGTAGATGAGAAGACGAATACATCAATCCCACTAGTACCCAGATGACCCAGATAATGTGGATTAGGCAGAAGAGGAGCTAGGATCGCCAGCGACTTAGGCAAGCACCGTACTTGGATGTACATAGGTAGGAAGCTGGGGGCCCTTAGAGTTAGGGCGGGGCTGTGACTGCCTGATAGCCCGATACCTTGATAAGGACCTTATCAATAGCAAGGCACCCTGTAACGGTATCCACTCGACCTAATGCATCCCATTTAACCATTTTAGGTACTATATGGTAAGGCTGAGAGCCTTCACATCGCTTGTAGCTTTGAGGATACAAAAAAATAGTTCATTGGATAGCTCTCAAAGAAACATGGATATTATATATTGCATGGAGAGGATAAACATATATATTTACTATATCTAAAATCGTAGGCGTCGTCTGTTAATTTCCCGGATGACTCAAAGGCATTTGCTTATATTAGTACGTACGATGGAGAGTTCAGCTAGTGGGGTCCATAATAGTTGAAAGTCGATATTAGGTGGATGGTGGGGTTGACCTAAGACATCACGATTCTTTAGCTGCATTAACTCCTATGGACTTATCCAATTTATTTTCAATAGCAACAGTAGAGTTACGGGATCTTTTATTTCAAGATGAAGTTTGTCAAACACACATGCCTAGATACCATAGAATGTGAACATATTATCATCATAATTACTAGGTAAACAAACATTGCCTTAGAGGGAATTGCGATTCATGGTCATGCTAGCCCTGGAGAGTATTGAAGGAGTTCTTGCATCCATGGATAGTGTCATCGTAGAATACCTACTGAAACTGTGCGAAGCATAATTAGGTCAGTAATGGCAGTTCAATTTCAGCAATATCAATAAGATCCATGGATGGTATCAATAATGCTACCTGGTACCTCTAGGGCTATTTCTTGCTCTGGAAGAAGGTTGGTGGCGGTACATAAAACTGGGGAACATTAAAGCCCCGCGCTTGTTCATATGACGAGTTGAGTTACCAGATGACGCGCGCCTTCCTACCTATTTTCCCTTTACACAAAGTTCCTGCGTCTAATTAGATAGGAAACGAGAATCCCTTTCGCCCTTTCCCATTCCCATAAAACCTATATCCGATTGCTCCGATTTTTCCCCTTCTCAAGAAACTCGAGTGCACCTGCAAATCTTTATTTCACCGCTGATTTTCCCAGTTAGCAAGATACAAAACTTCATTCGATTTTTTTTTTACCAACTTTATTGTTCTTGGAACAGCACAACGTTTTTGACAAGAGCTAACGTACCCGTCACAAAGACGGTTTTCAAGAGCCTATAAATCCATACATCAGTTTTTAATCCATCCCCATGGAATTCATGTCGCAAACAGCCCAATCATTTCACTGTTCGCATACTAGAGGATTCAAGACTTGATACTTCTGCCCTAACGCATCTATCGGCGATCGATACAACCCAATACCACCCACTGCTTTAGCAAAAGATTCTAGACTTTCGGCTCACCAAAATGCACGACCTGCGAAAGAAGATCTTTGAGAGCGGCAAGACCGTCTCTAGAAAAGCACGCTCGCGACAGCCGTCTGCGCAACAGTCACCCGCTGGCTCACGCCCTGGATCGCGTGCTACTAGTCGACACGCATCCGACGAAGAAGACTCCAGCGAATATGAATACACCGACAGTCTAGCTAGTTCTCTCGTAATATCGGAAGAGGGCGACGAAGAAGAGGGATCAGCACCGCCATCAGCGTCAGAGGTTCTGCACAACCACATTGTAGACTTACTAGACCAGAAGCGCGACAGCGGCCAGGACCGAGCAGATAAGTTGACAGCCTATACGGAGCTGATTCGGCATCATCCCAGTGCTGAGGAAGTTGATGCGCAAATGGACGAACTTATTCCCATGCTGCTTAAGAGTGTACGTGGCCGTCGAACTCCCCAAGGAGTAATGTGGTCTTTGAAGGCTTTAATGATGACTATCCTCTCATCTGGGGCGGAGAGCATTCACAGTCGCGTGTACCCAACTCTTAAGACCCTCTGTGAGAACTCGGACTACGACGACGACGATAACGAGCAGATCAAAGTGGCAGCTATCCGAGCCATGGGAGTCTCGACACTGTGTGGCGGAGGCTCTGTGACCGCTGCGGAGGAATTTTTGGAGTTTCTCATCGAGATCATCCAGAGCGATGGACACGTGATCGAGGCTGGTGACAATGGACCAGTGGTTACTGCGGCACTGAATGCTTGGGGATTTGTCGCGAGCGGTCTTGACGATCTTGAAGAACAGAGCACAGAAGCGCTAGAAGCTTTTATGGAACAGCTTGATAGCAGCGATGTCGACGTTCAGGTAGCTGCCGGATCTAACATCGCCTTGCTTCTAGAAAGTGCTCGCGAGTATGAGGAAGAGACCGGAGAGACTTGGAATATGCGTTATGATCAGGATGCGCTTCTTCATCGCATGCACGCGCTCACCAGAGAGTCTTCGAAGTCAATTTCCAAGAAAGACAAACGACAGCTTCACAGCAATTTCAACAGCATTGTAACCTCTCTTGAGCATGGAAAAGGCCCAGGATATTCGACTGCACGACGTTTTGCCAGCAATCCCCACACCGGTGGCAACAAGGCAGACTTCAATGGCGACTACCAAGAATACGGCTACCGACAGAAGCTCCGAATTCAGAATATCAGCATCGTCATCGACACCTGGTCTCTATCGGCTCGCGTTGGAATGCTCAAGTCCATCCTTGGCGGTGGTCTTGCCAGCCATTACTTGAACAATCCCGTTGTGAGAGACCTGCTTAGCGGCGCAAAGACCGAGTACGTCTCAGCACCGCAGAATCTAAAGCCCAACAAGTACGAACGCAAGAACCGCCTAAGAGGATTCTCAGATTGAGTATTTTAAGACACCAGGTTACTACACCACCTCGTGCGGACCGAAGACGGCCTCATAAACGGCGTTCTCTGGCCACCTCTGAGATACAGGGTTATGCTGATACCCGTTCATCCCTGCTGGTTAACTAGGATTGGTTTTACACATCATGACCAGCATCATTGCACTGTTTGCCTAGGTAGTCTCGGAGTAGATTGTGAATTAATATTTTGCTCTCATTTTGCAGTGTCTTAGTTTCCTGGTTTCTTGTTACATGGTTCCCAACCCGGAATACCTAAATGGGGGATATTAATAATACCTATCAACGTAGAGTTAGGTAACATGTATGCGGCTACCCGCTTCCTGTGACACCCTCCTAGGGATAGGTGATATGACAGAATAAATTATACCTACCTAGGTATATTAAGTAGTATCCATGGGAGTATAATGATACCTAGAATTGATCCTTCGATCATGTACAAGAAGTGTAGAGAATTTTTTTTCCCTGCACAATTCTAGGTATCCCCAAAATCACAGCAATTGCCCATACGGATTGGAATTCATATTGGCTTTAGGTTATTGGTTTCTTGCATGTCGGGATGGAAGACTACATATTCATCTCAAGATAGATTCTCGGTAGAAGAACTGGGGATGTATCACGATCTTAATTGTAAAAATGGTAGAGTGCGATTGTACCTATGGTATTTAGTATCATATGGATGCTCGCCATCTGCAAGCACTTTACTTATATGGAGCGACGGCGTTGGGGAACGTGGTTTTGAATCAGACTGTTGAAGTCCGAAGGATATGCCTTAATCACGAAGCAATCCGAGAGGTTGCCAACTTCCCATGATACGGCGCCACTAGAATCCTAAGCCCCGATGTAAAAGAGCGAGACACGCATTCATTTGCCACTCTTGCCGCATGTGTGCCTTTGAAGAGGCATTGTCGGACCGTAGAATCTGCAGTTGGACGAATACTAGGTAATCGCTGGACAGTAAGTGGCTGTGGCGACGTTGGGGTCATTTTATTAGTCTAGGCTGTTGTATCTAGCTAGATTGAATTTACACGCAACGTCTCTTTCTCTCCGTTACTGATCCGCTAGGAATTTGAGAATCTAATATCCCGCCGGGATGGCGACTGGATAGACGCAGGGCAAAGTCCTGTAGGCTTTAATGTATTATGCATAGTTGTATGCCCTGCTAAGTCGTATTACATGGTGATTTGACGCAGATCGGGTGGCAGCGTGATTGTGCATCGGGGGCCGTGATTAGCATGAAAATTGAACCTCTACGGTGCGCCTATGGACGGAGCGGTTGCCGGTGCGACTCTAGGAGGTATAGGACTATCTAATCACATTTGTTTCCGGTTTAGTATCTCAACGTGGGATTGGCGAGGGGCGAAAAGAAGTCGGTGAGCGTAGAGGCTCCCGTAGGCCCGTGGCAACCACGATATGATCATCACCCCATATGGGGGGTGGAAAATCAAGATGGATGATGAATTGGTTGAAGAGCATGTTTGGCAGCTTGTAGAACCGATTCGTCCGCTGGTTACTGCCCAGACGGTTTGACTGGGTCGACTCATCGCTGATCGGTCTAGCGGATTCAGCTAGTCAAGCTAGAGTAATCCCACTGTCCCATCATACCTAGTAGTAGACTTGCCGAGGCGTTAGGTCAAGGATCAAGCTCTGATCCCAAACGGGATGCGGATCCAGTTAAGTCGCTGGAGCGCACATCATCATCGTGCCGTCGCAGACTAGATATCGGCACCTAGCCAGCCCGGCCAAAGACGCAAGCAGGCAGAGCCACAAGAGAGCCACTTTGCGGAACTAATATCTACTAGTAGTTCCGTCGAATTACGGTGTCTGGGTCAACTGAAAGTAAAAAATAAGGAAGGGAAATTGGCAAATTGGGCAGCAAACAGAACCAGGCCGTTGGTAAACAATCAATCTCCCTGCCAACCACCCCTTAAAATGATATAGTGACGAGATCAATTGATTCTGAAAAACGAATAGGCTACTTCAATTGAGAATACATTATGATAAGTATGGATTTGGCTGTCGGTCTTGGGGTGAATTGAATTGGATCTTAATGAATAAATAGATGAAAAGTTGGAAGTACAAGTAATAATCATGCTAGAAATAATTGTGAAAGGCGACGAATTGAATATCGCTTGCATATGCGCATTTATTCAAGGTACAGAGCCTTATTACTTCGTAGAAACCTTCCATTTAAGGTTCGTTTAAGAGGGAAGCAGCATATTACTACGTAGCTGCGTAGGAACCTCTCAAGGCAACCCCGACCTCCTTGTCATTGCAGCCGGTCCGTCCCTGTCAGCTAGACTTCTAAAGTTCTGTCAGGGTTCCATTCTGTAACCTGATTGGCCCAGATCTTTAAGCAAAGCCAACGCATCAAACTCCCACACACCACTTGACCCCAGCAAGTTTCCCAGGTTGCCAAGGCAGAAAGTCCCCCTCGCAGCTCCAGTCTCTTACCTTACCAGCTTTTTTTCTAGACAATATTAACAAAGCCTCATAAGCCTATTATCGTTTATTCTTCTTCCCCTCCACCCCCACGACTCGTACTTCCTCTACCGCCATATCGAGGAGGGAGCCTCGAGGCTTTGCGCTTGGCCTCAGGACTGTCCTGCGGCTCCAGAATTCCCCGTATAATATCAGTACGTGGGCATATTTCGTATTGGACGAGACGAGTTTCACACGCATCGTCCTGCAAGCAAGAGAGTGGGATCTTACACCCAACCCACTCGACTCGCCCACCCGAGTGGGCAAGGAACATAGGGAAAGTGAGAAAAACAGGAAAAGAAAGGGTACATCGGGGAGTTCGCATCATCGACTTGAGCGTTCTTGCGTCGTGAGATCTTTTTTGCATTTTCTTATAGCTTGTAAGTGTGTATGGCTTCTCAAATCCCCTTATGAGTCTGTAAATGGGTGATCGTTCGATTCAGCTCCCAATATGTTTTACTGCCTTTTTCCCCTCTAAATTTTTCAATTTCTGTGGACGTGCTCTATTCGTATAAGTGCGGGCGGGCCTGGGTTGTGTTGCCGCCCCGGCGCAAATGAGGGGGCTGGGATATGAAGAAAAGTAGAGCTTCAGCTCTGCGCAGCTTTCCCTCACAATTCTCCTCGTTCTACCAACAACAACCATCGACGGAAAAAAAAAGTCATTTCCTCAATTCCTCTTATTTTCATTTTCATTATTTCGGTGTTCCGGTATTCATTCATGACATTCGTATTATTCCCTACAACACCATTAGTTAATTGTCCTCATCGTCGTCTCCGACCTCACATGACCTGCGTCGTCGTGTAGACTGCTTTTTGTTGTTTTGGTTGTTCTGGACACCGATTCACTCTAACACCGTACCCAGTTTTCGCATCCCCTACACATCTTTACATGTGTGATTAATCGACACCTGCGCAAACTTATCCGGCCTTATTTGTCCGGGATACCTGTTCATCTCCAAATTTCTCCTGACACCTAAGACCGATATCGTTCACCGCTGGACCACTCGCTGGGGCAAATACAGCGAAGCAGCCAGAGGATTGGCCAGGGAGGAAGCGGCCAATTAAGTGGATGCGTGGCCGCACAACTTGACAACTGGACATATACTCGGGCACCAAAATGGGAGTCGATTCCAGAACAGCACCCCCGTTACCCGCCCCGACCGAGACCGAATCCCAGATCACTACTACCGATCTTACCGAACTTGCTGCATCCGATGTTTCCAAGGCTGCCGACGACGACAGATCCCATTATTCCCTCCCAGACGACGGAACTCCCGTTACCATTAAGACCCGTGGCCATAGACCTAATCGCTCCCAGACCTCTCTTCTAATCGAGTACTTCGAAGGTGGGAAGAGCGGTGTTTCAGGCGCTTCCGGTTCTAGCGAGCGAAAACCTAGCGTTCGCGTCCGTCTAACTCCCTCTAAAACCCGTGGAAGAAACGACCATATTCAGATTACCGAGACCAAGAGCAGCAGAAAGAGGTCTTCGTCCAGAAGGGCAGTCGCAAGCCCGAACGTTACTCGAAGTGAATTGGACATAATGACGGACCCAGAGGACGCGAGGAGCATGCACTCCTATGCCTCCGCCACGGAGGAGTCCAACGTCTCCCGCAATCCCATCGAGGTCGAGATTGACTCGAGAAGTCATCATCGCCGTCGAAAGGTATCGAGCCCGCTAATACCTGCTACCGACAGCAAGGCTTCGACCTATCAACCACCCAACATGTCCGACATCTCGGCCATTCCTACCGACAGTTTCTTAGATGGTTCTGGTAAAGACTCTTTCGCGTTGAATGAAAAGCGTGCCAAAAGTCCAGCTCCAGCTCCGCCGACTGAAAAGACACACCGTAAGGTCCGGAGCTCTAGTCATGATCGGAGCGTCATGCAGAAGGCGGTTGAGAAGGCAAGCAAACCAGAGCGAAGACATAAGTCGAAGAGTAGAACAGGTAGCTCTGGTGATAAAGAAAATGAGAAGCGCAGGTCAAAGGGGAGCCACAAGGAATCCGTTGTCTCAGCCGCCGACACGAGCATTCTCTCATCGCAATTATCTCCCAGCCATCGCTCGTATGATTCACATTCTTCCTCTAAGGTATCCATAAATAATCCGAAGCTACTTGAGACCGTCGAGGACGCTATCCGACGACTTATCTTACCCGAACTGGATGCCATTAAGAGAGAACGAAGCCAACGAGAATCTCGGAGAAGTAAAGATCGAGATTCCCTCTCGAGCCTCACATCGGCGTCTCGCGAGGAGATTTCCGGGACGATTAAGAGGAAATCTGCCGACACAACTCAGTCGACTAAATCGAAAGACAAGCGAGATAGAGAGGCTAGGAATGACTTATCACCTCAGAGCAGTATTGAACATGTCTCAGTTGTCACTGAAGGCGCGCAAGATGAAGATCTCACACCTCGTCGTGATCGCGATCGCGAAACGCTTACGGATTCTGCTTTAGACTCTTCAGTCAGTGGTGCCGCATTGCGATCAAGATCTAGGGGCGACGAAAAGAGACAACGTAGGAGAAGACGCGCAGAGACCCCGAAGCGTGACAATGGTGAACGATATGGCGACGACTATGACGGCGCTGAGCACGAGGTGGTGCCGCCTATGCCTCTACAGAGTGAAATCAACCCGTCCGATATGACACGAACCTCCATATTATCGGCTGAGACGGATAGGCCTCACTCTGCGAGCGAAGAGATGACGCCAGTCCAAAGGGTCGCGAGAGGTGTCCCTTCGATGGAGTCTCTCCAGAGAACTCCCTCTCCTTCACGATCACCAAGTCACACGATTCAAGGCTTAGGCGCTCAACACGCTAACGTATCGCACGGCGACCTCAAGGCGCTTCCTCGTAAAGGGAACTCCGAATACCGAGAAGAGTATAGGACTGACGAGTTCGGAAATCGTTATCTGGACCAAGGTCGGGATGAGTACGACGATGACTACGACGAGGCTGGTCATCTCTCTGAGCCAGGCATGTACGATGATGAGCCATCCATGCAGTCTTTCTACGGGTCCCAAGATGTGCCGGCCCCATTGCGTTACGTTCCTTACCAGCAAGAAAGACGTGGACTAAGTCCAATTCAGAGCGTGTCGGGTATTACGGAGGGAGAAAGTGATGTCCACGGCTACCGAGATACGAGAACGATACACACCGAAAGCGAGCTCTCGTCGCCAGATAAATCGCTTCTCAACCGCGACCTTCAGTCCCCAAGTTCTATCCCCAGCAATTTGCGAAGTCGTGAGTTTGCCGATGAGGCTAGCAGCGTGAGAAGCTCCGGTGTGGATTATAGAAATACCCAATACACCGATGATAGCGAGTTGGATCACGTAACTTCGGGACAAGCAGTGCATGTTGTTGGGGGAAATCCCGAGATGGTGCACCAGAGTTTTGCACCGGAATCCGCTGTGGCTTCGCTGGTCGAGGGATCACAGCTTGATCCTTCTGTCTTGAGTGGCTCTACGGGAGTCAGGCCGGATTACCGCGACTCACAATTCACCTACGGTGACGATTCAAGAGGAGTAAGCCCTGCAAAGCGCTCGGTGGAGAGTCGTCACGATGCGGGCGAACGACAACAGAACCAATCACCAGCACCATCAAGGGAGCGAGACCCATCAACGGCTTCTAGAGAATTCTCGGAATATGAACTCGACGAATTCGGCCGAAAGGTTCCTCGATCGAACTACCGCAACTCTCCCACTGTTTCCGAGAGCGCCATCACGAGCGTTGCTTTGCAACGAGCAGCGCAGGCCGCCCTCAAGCGAAAGGCTGTGGGCTCCGGTCCGACTCCGAATACCGAAGCGAATGATAGTGAATTTGTTGGTGAAGGTGTTTCACGAAATCGTTCGTTCAAAGAGCGAGCCACTAAGGATGGCTATCGACCGGACGCTACTCCGCGTCATAGCGTCGATCGCCTTTCGGATTACGACCAGCCAAGGTTGGGGGCTAGTGGCCTCCCAGATTTGGATAACCCTATGCCAGAGATAGGATATGGTTATGACGAGCGAACTCCTTCAGTTGTACAAGGACCACTAGGCGGATCGCAGCACGGGGACAGAGACCACTGGCCGAGAGAACAAACGCCAACCTACGAAAGGTCGTATTCTTACGATCGCGCCGTGACACCTAAGGCCAGCAGACAAGATAACGGCCATGGACTTGGCATCTCCGATGCGGCTACCGCAGCTACTCTTGCAACCGCGGGAGCTATGGTGACATCTCATAGTCGACAACCTAGCCAGGAGCAAGATGACGAGTGGCAGAGAACTTCCGGAGACCGTAAGCGAGACACTTTAGTCACAAACCCCTACGAGGGAGCCAGTCCGATAGCCAACCTTCCTGGTGTAGATGGAAACATGTTGGGCGGGACTGGCTTTGGAGCAGATGCTTACAGAGGTGGCTTCCACACTGGCAGCCCCGGAATCACGGGAGGCGATGAAGGCTATATATCTGCGGCACCGAATGAGGTGCGCGATCGACCTGATGTCAAGGGCAAGGAGGTTCCGATGCACAGCCAACCTAATGTGAGAGATTCCGAGGACCCGTTCTACGCGCCGAAGGATCCGAGACATCTTACCGGTCTTTCCCAAGCAATGGGAACGCCTCTATATGATCCCGCCACTGGAACCGGAATTGACAGGATCCAGTCAAAGGATATCATCGCACTGATGGAACATGTAAGTATATCCCAAAGAGTTGTACCTATTTATTTGCTAATTGCTATTTAGCTTATGGTCCGGGACGCACAACGAAGTGCTAGAGACACCGAAATCCTCGTGACCCTTGTTCGCTCCGCGGCCGATATGCGCAACTCTTTCGAAGACATCAAGAGGATGCTGGCGGACAGCGAAGACCAAATCATCACCGAAGTGAGGGATAACACGGAGAAGACAGTCAAGCGTCACCTTGGTGGACCTCGGCCATTCCCCGGCAGCAGTGCACGATCCATCCAAGGAGGCTCCCAAGCCGGCACCGAAGACGCTAACGTGAAGAAGCGTAACTTCCTTCGACGGGCACTCCAAGGCCTCAGCTCCAAGGGCGCCAACGATCTTACTCGAATTGAGGACTTGCTCAATCAGCTCCTCGATGATGTCAACGATCTCAAACACCAGACCGGCGGACCGGTTGGCCTCATGAGCACGCGAGCTCAATCCATTGAGAATATCCAACCCGAGGTCCAGTACGAGCAAGACCGTGGTTATGAGCCTGAAGGCCATGCCGGAACGTCAACTGCTAGCCACGCCAGCCAGTCAGGACACCTGTCAATACCCCAATCCCGTGGAACATCTAACAGGTTGGGCAACGAGCGAAAATTTTCGGATCATCGCATCAGCACCGTGCCGGAAGATGATGGCGAATATAACGACCATTCCGGACCGCCGCCAAGCCAATATGAGATGCACGGAGGAATGCTTTCTCCCAGCGAGGACCGACCAAGAGGCGGATCAGTGCCTCTAGGCACACCGCCCCAAAATTCGCCGCAGACGCAGCACTATTCGGTTAGCAATGAAAACACTCCTCGGACTGAAGAGAGCAAGAAACATAAGTCGCGAGGCTCGTCTAGTTTCTTCCCGAAAATTTCGCGCTGGTCTGAGACGACGACATCGAGCTTAGGAAAAGTTTTCCGAAGCAGTGGTGCCTCCAAGAAGCATGACCCGCCTGAGGATTTCCTACAACATGCTCCTCCTTCTCGGTCGGCCTCGGACATAGGGAACTATGAACAGTTCCAGCACCAGGACGTGTACGAATCTGATAAGCTGCATTCTGGCTTTTCGGAACATGATCTGCGCCCGGCAACCATGGACTCCAACCTGCCTAGCATGACTGCCCCGCAACAACAAACCCAGCAGACCCCTATGCAACAGCCCGCTGCACCCATCCCGTACTCCACCCCGGAAGATCCCAAATACAGGGCTCATCGCAACTCGCTTAACTTGCAGCACCCTCAGCCGCGGCCAGGACGTATGGAACGTTTTGGGACAGCACTGGAGTCCTCGGCGCAGGACTACGACACGCCTATGTCCCCGAGATCAGCTGACTGGGCTGGCTCCGCCACCTCATTAAACAGATTTCCTCCCCAGAACACCAACCGCTATAGTGATAACAGCGCTATGAACTCGGGCCACGGAGGAGACGACTACCACTGGCAAGGAATAACATCTCCTAGCCCACAGGGCCCACCACGTCCTCCCAAGGAGCCGCTTGATGGTGCTTCACCTGCATTCACGCAGACACCCCCTCAGCACGACCGAGTGAACAAGCTTCAGAAGAAGAATGGCAGTCCATTGCCATACCAAAGCGTCGAGAGTGGCTACGGTACTGCTACTGCCACCCACGCCGGAAGTTACCACTCCAATAGTCCTAAACCAGAGAACAGGAATCTGAGCGCCGCCCTAGGGGTTCCAACCCGCAGACCTAGCGGGCCCAGAGCGATGACTCCTAGCCGAGGTAGCGAAGATGGAGAGGAGAGACGACGAAAGCGAGGTAAGTCATCACAACTTTTTCAGATATCGAACTTTGCCTTACTAACATCATACATAGACACGTTCGGCACGGTAGCTAGCCCTTCGAGCGCTATTAGCCAAGAGTCTGAGACGTTTTAGGGAAACGCTCGACATCTTGACGTTCTGATGCCCCAGTCTCCATTTCACGTTGATTTCAAAAATTAGAGGGACGAATGAACGACTTCACGGTTGACATCAAGCGGCTGCTGGGTAGCCGTGCCTTAGATATAATAATTGCCCTTGTAGGCGTTTGGACCTAGGTAGTACATCATGGCTTCTTCCCCTGGAAGGGCACGAGAGGACAAAAGGAATGGACATTCGCGTTGTTTTCGGAGAGCTTGATATAAAGCACGGCATGGCATCTCATGGTGGGTTGTGGTCAGCTTGGCGATAAGATGATTTAATCGATTGACTGAACTGGGTTGTTGTGTTGCGCGAGATACCAGAATATTTGATTGATATCCCTGATTGATATCCCGAATCGAATCCCCTTTTCATGACGACTTACGAATGACTTGCGAGGATGGGTTGAGGCCGGGTTGAGTTAATACAAATGAAGATTAGTTGTCGATGGTCATGATAAATTCGATGATGATTTGTGATATGATATTATATGATCCATATGTGAATGACGTAGAGTTGTGTAGGTATCTCACTGACGCAGACTTGCATCTCTTCCTGAGACTTGTCCTTAGGTCCGGGGCTAACTCGTAACTTTGGTCTCCTGCTCAAATGAAAAAGGGGACTAAGACCTGCGGGACTCGGCACACTCTACATTTGGAACTGGTTTTTGTCATGCAGGACTCGTATATCTAAGTGAGTCCTACGACGCAGGATTCCCAAAAGAGACGCCGTCTCGTATAATTTTATATTCACCATAGGATATAAATCCGGCAACATCTCTCTGCTAGGCTTACGCAAACTAAGATTGTGTTCTATTGTCCTCTCCCACTGTATCCGGATACTTAACCCCTTTAAACCTGATACCTCCTGTCCACCGCAAACACCTTTTCCATACTTAGCAATGTCCAACCCAACCAACCGCGCCTTCTGGCAAGACGCCGCCGGCGTCCCGAGCGCCATCCGCGAATCCCCGGTCCCGTCCTCCCTCGGCCCCCACGAAGTCCTCATCAAGGCGCGCGCCTGGGCCGTGAACCCTGTGGATGCGTACCTGCAGGTCGTCGCGCTGCCCTTCATCACGTACCCCGCGATCCTCGGCACGGACGTCGCCGGCGTCGTCGAGGCCGTCGGCTCCGGGCCGGCTTCTCAGAAGTTCAGGGTCGGCGATCGTGTGCTTGGGTACGCGCCTGGTAGGAAGAGGGAAGGGGCTGCGTTCCAGGAACATGTTGTCTTGGACCAGGGACTTGCGATGAAGATCCCGGATACCATGGCTTTTAGGGAGGCGTGTGTGTTCCCGCTTTGTCTTGCGACGGCGGGCGGGGCGCTTTTCGGGAGCGAGTATTTGGGCTTGCCGTTCCCGGGGGAGGGAAAAGGGGAGGGGAAGACGCTGCTCGTTTGGGGCGGCGCCGCGGGCGTGGGGAGCAATGCGATTCAGCTTGCGAAGGCGGCCGGGTTCGACGTCGTGGCTACGTGCTCGGCGCACAATTTCGAGCTCGTGAAGGGCTTGGGCGCGGGCAAGGTGTTCGACTACAAGAGCCCGAGCGTGATCGACGACGTCGTCGCCGAGCTGGATAAGCGCGTCTGCGCGGGCATCTTCCAGGCCGCGGGCCCGCAGAACGGGGTCGTGCCGTGCTTGGAGATTGCGTGGAGGTCGAAGCAGGATCTGTTCGTGGCGTGCGCGAATCTTGTTCCTGAGGGGAGCGTGCCGCAGGGCGTGAGGGCGACGTTCGTGCTTGATACGAGCGATGAGAGGGGCTCTTATTACGGTACTACGAGTAAGATATTCGCGGACTTTCTGCCGAGGGCGTTGGAGAGGGGCGAGTATAAGGTGGCGCCTACGCCGGAGGTGGTGAAGACTAAGGGGCTCGAGGGGATTCAGGAGGCGATTGATCTTCTGAAACAGGGGGTTTCGGCTAAGAAGATTGTTGTGGAAGCTGAGTAGGTGGGTATGAGGTTACATTGATGCTTGTAACGAAGAGAATTTGGAAGTTTGATGAAGTGATTTAAGATATGGGGATGGTTTCACTTTGTAGAATGTTAACACACTCCCTGCTTAAACGTATGATTGAAACACATCTTGTTCGATTTATTGAGAACTAGTGAATGCCCAGTATTTGTTATTTAATTCTTTAACACTGTTCATTGCCAACTCCAGTCTTCTTGTTGGATCCGTCCGTTCTAGAATGTCGAGATAACCCTTCTTCTAGTTGCTTTCTATAACTTGTGCGATAAGATAGGTAGGTACTTGAAGCATTCTCGAATCAACATTATCACCATTACGTTATAAGCGTGACTCAGTCATCTGCTCATGCAAAATGCAAATGCATCTTGAATACCCACCACCTGGGTTCCGGTAATGGCTGCAGTAGATAGGACTTAGGATATTACGAGGTGAAGCGGATATAAGGGGAAATGTTTGATAGTATTGAAAGTGACCCTCCATCTCGGTAGTGGTGATTCTCATGTCAAAGTTCGGGCGAAGTTAACGGACCAAACGATCATGGAGTTAGGTGATAGCTACGCTCCCGCAACTTCCCCGGATTTACAAATAACTCGGGACCCGCAAGCACTCCGGTCGGAAGTAATACTTGCCCGATTAGGTAGTTCTTCTCTCCGTATTTTCGGGATCCATGCGGGAAGGCGGGGCACAGAAATAGGGGGGGTGACCACGTACTAGTTATCGGCGCTAGTTCGGGATTTACGACATTCATGGCGTTTAAACACGATGCCTATTAACGAACTCGTTCAATTATCCCTTGGACCGGCGCCGAAAATACGAACTTAGAATATTCAGTTTCGGTGCTATGGCTACCCGGTGTTATCGCCAGCAAAGGCGTGCGTCCCTATGCGCCCGGTCAATTTTCCGGTGTTTTCGATGGGATCATAGCTTGCTGAGGTGAGATTCCTAGACATCTTTGTCTTCTTGGGGAATTAAACCGGGCATTTCACCTACCTTAATTGACCCCTGTTAGTTGATGCCGCTTGCGGTCGGGTTGGACATATACATCATGATTCCCCGCGACAGGTGTATTCACTACTCATAAGAAGCAATTCTTACGACCTATTATCGCCTCCGGTAATTTCTCTACTCCGACCGCTAACGCCAGATCTATTCTCGGAGTTTACACTTTCAGGGGGATATCGAAGCTACTAGAGCTATAATGTACTCATCCGAACCCTGTTCTCGACAAGGGAGACTCGTGGCCATAAAATGATCATTATAACGACCATTGAAAGCATGCGTGGTATTTTATACGCTGTGGGTGAACGGGTGATTTTCGAAAGGGACGTTATGGTTGTAGGTACTACCTACGTACATCTTGGAAGCCAGACCATATCACCCATCCCACTAATCGTCATGATTCCATCATTGTAGTCGATTATGTTATCCTATCATATATATATATATTCTTTTCAGATAAGAGGTACTAATTCTAGCTACCTTAAGGGATACCAAATCTCCACCATTTTTGATCCTCGGCATTCTAGGACGACCTGCGATTTCTTCCCTTTCCTGCAGCGTGCCACGACTTGACTATTTCGAGAACAGGAGGACATTCAGCCCACGAATACCACGTATTTCTGAATACCCAATTGATCTCTTGCGGGGACCCCATCGCATATGGCACAGGCATAGCCGCAGCATAACGCTCCGGTGATCGTAAAGCCGGCCAGTAATGCTTATTACGTTCATCGACGACGTCAAACATCACCTCACACTGTTCTTGCAGGCTTTTCAGAATATCTGTCCATTCGGAACGCTCGACAATATCCCGACGCTTGTAGAGGATATCGCATATAGCGTGCTCACGAATCCACTCCATCTTCTCGTCATAGGTAGCGTTACGTTTTCCGGGTTTATTGAACTGCTTCTCTAGTGATTGGATATCCAAGTTGAGGCGCAGCTTGAGGTTGGTTAGGGAGGCGAGCATGCCCAAGTCCAAAAGCTCCTTTGTATCGGTAACGGGCTCGAATACGTCCTCATCGTGCAGGTTCAGGAACGGGTTCTCCATATCGCCCCAGTCGTAGTCATCCGCCCCGCCGATGGTTGCGTGCCACTTTATGAAATCGTAGGCTTCCTGTTCTCTGCCTAGACGGAGGTACAGAGCGGGCACATGGCTACGGATGCTCTGGTTATCACGCCGGTTCAACTGCAGCATTTCCAAGCTGTGTTCGAGCGCCTCCTCGACGGCCGTTCCGGTTTTGATATTCAACAGGGTGGAGATGAGCTCGAAACGCGCTTGCATATATGGCCGCGCAGGCAGATGAGGCCAGAACATGCCCCGCGTCGTCTCGAACGGATTAGCTTCCATGAACTCGTCACCGGGATGAGCGCGTAGGGTAGCTTCTTCTTCGGCGAGCTTGGCGCGTGCCGTCTTGATCAAGTTGCAGGACGACTTGTGCACCGGCCGATGGGCCCGCTGGTGGGCGGCACCGCAGTAGAGGACGGCTCTGCAGGCACCGCATCTTAGCAGGTTTTCACGGACGTGGCAGTTTGGCCCGGAGCACGTGCCCCAATGAAGACCGAGGTTCCATCGGTTCCAGAGCCCGTTGGGTGCTGGTGGTAGATCCATGATAAGAGATTCTAGACTAATGGGATTCTTCAGCAGGTAGTGTATGTACGACCAAGAGTTGACAACTTGTTGGATAATTTAACTGTTAAACAATGTGGAGTTGTTGTTGAGGAATTTTTAGCTCACTTATGCTTGTGAATGGTCACATATCGCTTTTTTAGCGGTGTGGAAATTGTCAGTGCTTTTCACGTTACAGGCAGGGATTATCCGAGAATGATGCGATAAACGTCATCAGGAAGGGTTTAATGAGTTATTTAATCATTGTGGAAATTATAGATGATTTTTCACGTGTAGGCAGATGCCTCTAGTTGAGAATGACTATGATAGTTGGTCGTTGGTCGGGGATGAGTTGAGAATAATAGGTATCACCTAGGTTAGGGAAATGCAATGCAACTCCGCGATCATATCTATTTAGGGGCTATATAATTGGAATTAATAGGTATAGGAGACGCCCAGAAGAACCTAACAATACGATAGTATTCTTCTAAACGGTTGTATTAATCGTGAATATCTGGCATAGAACTGCATAGGTAGAATAAGCTTACCTCTTACTTTTACAAGCCGCCTTCTAAGGAGACGCATTCACTTAAGAGATCAGGGCGTTTTAGTACCCTCTACGTATTATTTGCGTTTCAGTCGCCCAGGAGCGACGCGTAATAAGGTTCCAGATCATACCACCTAACACAGCAAAGTACGTGGATCTAAGGCTACCGACATTAGAGGTGCTCAAATATCTTGGAAAATACCCGGTGACGAAGCCGCTGTGACTTATCGTCGGTGCCGCGACCTACGAGACTTGGTCGTAAGCGATACGCGATCGGATAGCTGGAACGCCCCGGTGGATACTGAGGTGAATGATATGGACACTCAGTTCGTTGGTAAGCTTTTCGCAGTCCATCTGGGCTCGGAAGCAAGTTATGGTTGATTGTGAATGTGATTTTACTTACAGCGTCAGAGAGTTCCGGTATTCGAAGGGAAGGATGGTGTTTAAGAAGTCATGAGATGTGACTGATGGTGTGATGTTCAGTGTGGCCATAATTTTATGTACAAGAATTGAATTAGATCTCATAAAACAATGCAACCAAGATTAAAAAGTTCTCCTTAGTTCTAATCTTTGACAATATTATAAATCGCCATTGTAGAAGACTACTTTCTTGATTTTTTATTAATTTGGTGAACCGATCAGACTCGTTCCACTTCTATGATGCCTCCAACTGTGTGTGGTTTGTGCCAAATCTTAGCGATCCGTAGCCCCTCAACGCCATTGATCAGCGTGGCCCAGTCTTTGTCAGTTCTTTCAGCTGTTGAAAGAAATGTCATCATTGTGATATCTGCGATGGTAGCCTGTATGGAAGTGTCGCGATCACTGACGACGTCCTCATGAATTAGAATCTTAGAGTAACCTGGCTCCATTACATCGGCGATGTTTCTCAAGATCTCGACCGCTCTGTCGTCCGGCCAGTCATGGAGTATCAAGTGAAAATAATATGACCGAGCGCCTTTGATAGGCTGGGGAGCGAAAAAGTCGTGTGGGCATACGGAAATGGCAGGATGGACTGTCAAACCGCTGAGCACCTCTGGTAGATCCTGCAGGACAAGACTACCTTTGGGGATACCAGGGTGCCTTTGGAGAAACTTTTCGAGGTCGTGGCCTTTGCTGCCACCGACATCCACGACAATCGGACGGTCAAGTCTGGCACCCGTGATGATCTGGGTTGTATCGTATACTTCTGGCCACGGAGAAATGTGTCCTCGCGCGTGGCAATCCATCGCATCTGCAAACTCCTTATTCCGGACAGGGGAAGATGCTATATACTCGAACAATGTGGTGCCTTTGCCATGAACACGATGGAAATTGCTATTTTGCATGTCTGTGGGATTCTTGAAGCCTGTTTCTTTCAAGAACGTTGGTAGTGAAAGAGTTAGTGGAGCCATTAACTCATGATACAATGTCCCATAGATAGACGGCATCGCCGGATCCGTTCCCAGGCTCAATGCCCAAGGTGTGGATGAATATGTATTCTCACCAATCTGGGTAATGAGATGTTGTGCGGCAATGTGCCTTAAAAGGCGGTCTGTCATTTATCAACAGGTACACAGTATTAAACTTGAGTAGCTACTCGAAAATTAAGTACACTTACTCAACAGAACAGCGTCTACGCCTGTTAGCTCAGCGAACTCATTTGTCCTCAAGGGCCTGTTTCCTTGCTCCGCCCACTTCGTGAATATACCGGCATCAATCAATGTTTTGATGACAGAAATGGTGATGAGATCAACCCAGCCGTGAGACCATGCAATATCCCAGGGTGATTGAACTCTCCGGAGCGCAGCCAGGAGCGCGTCGCAAAGTCGAAGGCGCTCCGATTCAGAATTGAACGATCCAGTGCCGATGTCATTAAGTTTCGAGATAACCTGGTCAGCAGAAGTCATATTGATGGATACGGGAACTAAAAGATGCCAAGGCAGTGAATCTGAACAAGTGAGGCAGTATATTATCTGTGGCTCGGAGAAATGAAAATAGGACTGTGGTATTTCGAGATCGAGACCTCGAGACCTACGGAAGTATATAACTACGTGAAGTGGGAGTAAGGGATGCGCAAACAGTTGAAAACCATAGGTACCTAGGTACTTTATTTAGGGGAGTAGTGAACTTCTGCGTGAGTTCTGTGGTATTCATTCAAGAAGTTCTTCGCGCCGTCATCCATCCAGCATCCAGTCTTTTGCAGGATGCAAGTAAGACCCTAGGGGGGATTTAAGTGCTTTTTACGGCTCTAAATCTCGATTCGATCTCGACTTCCCCTCCTCCACTCTTGCCATCGATTGTAACACAGGTATGGATCTGCGCAGAGCAGCTGAGCTCTAGGCCTTTAAGGAATATGATCCTGCTGCTTGCCATGAGACCCTTAATTATCACCTACACCAGCCTCTCCAAACTCTATTAAGCCCCAGGACTATCTTACAGCCCATTATTGCTACGATAACGCAGCGGCTAGTTCGGATTATTAGGGCGGGAGCTGCCAGCTGAAACATAGCGTTCCCATAGCACCTTATGGAAGAATCTTGTGCTCCCAACTCTCTGCTATGGGTATGGACTCACGCCCCACACATCCTACTACGAATCATTTCTTGGAATACTCGGCTTAGATAAGTGAACTTCTAGGCATCGCATAGCCGTGGGTGATTCGGTGGGTGGCGGCAAAAACGTTGATCCATAGATGCTCGTACGCTTTGTAAAGGTGGGCTTAGCATTTTCTTAAGCACATCGAGAGAAGCGCCAGAAGCTACCTTTGTGCCAAAGCCTTAATGTTCAATAGGAGAATTCTGTTGAGAAAGTCCTATCACGGGACAATAGCGGATTATTCATGTGACCCCCCACGTGGTTCGTATACTATTAACATTCGTAAGTCTCTCTTTTAATATGTCCCTCAAAGTTCTCTCTTATGTTATATTGAACGGCTAGTAAAGCGCATATCCTTCGATGACATCTATACTCCGGCATGGAGAGGCTCTAACCCCGAAATGAAACGGGGCAATGTGGTCGTGACTGTTGACTGTGTCTGTTAGCAAGCAATAGGAGGATGGATGCATAGTAGCCAGTAAAGAAGTCTGGATACACCTAGTGGGTTTGTCACATAACAAGATGCGGACTCAATGGCTCCATACAATTACTCCTATATAATCTCCTACTTACGTTTATTATTTTTAGTAACAGTTGTATGGCGTAATAAAATCATAGTCCGAACTTGTACGTTAAGCATACTTCCCATGTGTAAGTAGTGTGAGATGTTGAATCTACCAATCTGCTGACGAATACACTGATACTGCATTGGCCTATATTAACATGAAGAGCTACCAATATTAACTTGGGGTAAGTATATGCATATTGTAGGTCTCGAACACTGCACCCCAGGTCTATTCCGATTATCCGGGGCTAGGTGTGGCACTCAACCGAGGACAAGCATGTGGACGATGAAGGAATCAGGTATTTGTTTACCACAATAAGCTCATAGAAGAAATTCCCAATTGGCTCTGATAATGAGGGGAGTCGCAACCAATTTAGTCCACGTCTTATCCAAAACTGACCCCAGGATTCCACGAGGCTTTCAGGCTAAACGTGATTATTAGTAGGAACATAGACCCCCGGAAAGAGGCAAATATGGAGAAATATATAAGCAGCAAACGATCAACTAAATACACGAAGAATACGATATTGTTAGTAACATCGAATTCGCCAAAATGTTGTCCTCTTTTGTTCTTGCAGCCGTTGCCCTCATCCCAGGGGTCTTCTCGGCACCCTCAGGATTCCTCCCTCAACTGGGTGATCTTTTACATGGTGAAAAGAGCAATGCCATCCAAGCCCGCCAAGGCGGCTACTTTTGGTCTTCTTGGTCCGAGGGTGGTGGAACTTTCCGATGCAACAACGGTGCTGGCAGCACGTATAGTGTGACATGGCAGACGAGCGGTGGCTCAAGCGGCTTTGTATGTGGAAAGGGATGGAGCCCAGGTGGAAACAGGTGAGTGTTTACTTGGAAAGCCATAAGTAGAAATTTCAAAAGATAGGAGTTGACATAATGGACTAGAGCTGTCAACTACGAGGGAACCTACAACACCACGGGCCCTGGTTACCTATCTGTGTATGGCTGGACTAGGAATCCGCTCATCGAATATTATATTGTGGATGCGCATGGGGATCTGCTACCCAATGAACCATGGACTGAGAAGGGTAACTTCACATTCGATGAGGGTACCTACACTATTTACACGAGCACTCGTGTAAATAAACCTTCAATCATCGGGACGACAACCTTTCAGCAGTATTGGTCTGTTCGCACTGAACAGAGAGTTGGAGGGACAATTACTACAGGAAAGCATTTCGAAGAATGGGCAAATCTTGGTTTAAACCTAGGAGGTCATGACTATAGTAAGGAGACCCCTTTATTTTTGAGAAGGTTTACTGACACCACGTCTTAGTGATTCTTGCCACCGAAGGCTATACTAGCGGGTCGACCACAAGTAATGGAACCTCCTCTTTTACATTGGCGTAGAGGAAATGGTACAAAATAGGGGTTTATTGCCTTATCATTGTGCTTTTGCGACCTGTTCTTCAAATTGATAATGTTCTTTCGCTTGATGCTATATCCTAGGCACGAATATGTACCAAGATACCTAGTTTAACCCAACTCGATATCAACCTAAAGTGTCGTCTTGCTCAGAAGATACCTAGTTGTGCCATGTGGGCCTGGTCTAAGTTTGGAGGTCCTTTCGTCAGGATTAAAAGGGCCATATTTATCAATAAGATGGCACATATACGAATAAATTTGTATGTCAAGCAGCGGCTCAATATTTGGAAACTGAGATGATATGACATTTTAATAAATAGTATAGCCGATTTCGGTTATCCAACTCCTCTTTTGGCTCACTTGGGCCATAATGACGAAGATAAGTTCGTGTATAGACCCTATTGGTAAATTTTGTTTTAGTATCGTCGCCAATCGCCAACTTTCATCTCGTTATGCGCATAAAATGCGGCTGAATCAAATAAAAACATTGCAACAAAGTCCGGGGCCCATTTAGTATGTAATTCGGTCATTGCGTTAAACTCGCCTTCCATCAGCATACGGCCATGTTGTTCGGAGGCAAGTACCGCTCCTCAGACCCATCGGGCAGTTTTAGGTGCAACCGGGCTCTTACTGTCCAACCCGGTGTGCTGAAACTACTTGTAGAGAGGATCGTCGTTCCAATTGGAAATTTTGAAAGGAAATTATCGTCAATCCGAAAATAACTGGGAAGTGGAAGAGAGACCCCTCTTGAGTGATCGATGAGGTATTGAAGAGAAATACACATCCTTCTAAGTAGGTAAATAAAAGGACCCTAAAAAGATTGGGTGGTCTTGAGGCGTTCGCGTCGGAGGCCTGAAAATCATGGCTTCTAGTCATAGGTATCTACTCGTCGCGGCAATAAGCGCCGTGGAGGGTATGCGCCACAATCAATCGTCTTTGTGGGCTGATATTGGTCAATATGGGTCAATGTAACCAACAGCATGCAATGTCGATCTGGTGGCTGCTGCGAGGAAAATTCCCGACAACTCTTATTACCTACCAAGTCTTATCAAAACAATCAGACTTCTCCTGTTATTGATCCTAAAAATTATAGGAATCATACAGTCTAGCCCGACAAAGACCAATGTCGAGTTTCTTCAAGCAATGGTCAGTAGCTACTATTATTCGTCCATTTCTAGGTACTCTCCTCACGTTATGAGCTGACGCGCCCCAAAGTTTAAGCGCTTTCGTTCAAGAAAGACGACAGACTTGGACTCTGCTGCGTCTGATGCGGAGCACAGCAACAGCAGAAGGGAGTTCTTAGGACCATCCTCCACTATTGGCTCTGGCTCCAACCGCCGTACCTCCTCGCCTTCGCCTTCTGGCCTGGGTCTCCACGTGATTCACCAACCAGAGTTTGCCTGCCTTGACATTATTTTCGTCCACGGATTAGGGGGCCATAGTCAACGAACTTGGTCTATGAACCATGATCCATCCCTATTTTGGCCGAAACTATGGCTACCATTCGAACCCGATATTGGTAAGGCTCGTATCCTGACGTTCGGCTACAATGCGGCTTGGCATGGCGCAACAAGAAGCATTGCTAGCATCACCGACTTTGCCAAAGAACTGTTATTTGAGATGCGATTTTCGATAGACGAGCATGGAGCTGATCTAAACATCGGGGCAAACCCCATTGTCTTCGTCGTCCATAGTATGGGTGGCTTAGTTGTTAAGAAAGCCTATCTATTAGGCCTCCATGACGAAAACTACAGAAATGTGATTCAGTCTATATCCGCTATCATGTTCTTGTCAACTCCCCATCGTGGTACTAATCTAGCGAAAATCCTCAATAGAGTGTTAGGCGCTTCCTTTCAATCGCCAAAAAACTTCGTTTCGGACTTGAATAAGAGTTCTCCGGCCATAGAGGAACTTAACGAACAGTTCCGTCATTTGGCACCAAAGCTCTCCATATGGTCATTCTACGAAACTCTGGCTACCTCTATAGGACCTAAGAAAGTCATGATATTAGAGAAGGAATCTTCGGTGTTAGGCTATCCAGCGGAAATCTCTAGGCCTCTACAAGCAGACCATCACAACGTCTGTAAATATTCGAGTCCGATGGATCCCAATTATATCAGTGTAAGGAATGCCATCAAATATCTAGCAACACAGTTTCGCCCAAGAGAAACACAAAAAGCTGGTTTACTCACTTATGAGGCTATGCCGAATACCCAGGAGCTTTTCCGCAACTCTCCAACGACCGAGGATGACTACAACGCGTTAATGCGTGTCTGGATTCCCGATACATGCAAGTGGTTTCTTGACGAACCAGAAACAATTTCATGGCTTGAGCCATCCTCGGAGTCGCGCGTACTCTGGTTTAGTGCTCCGCCTGCTAATGGAAAATCGGTCCTTTCAGCTTTCTTGATCAACCACTTACGAAACTCGGGCCTCACATGCCAGTTCTTCCTGTTCAAATATTCGGACCGGAACAAACGTTCAGTGGCGGGTAGTTTACAATCTCTTGCACTTCAGCTAACAAGGGAAATGGCTCAATTTAAAAGGTCGTTGGACGGATCTTCAGCGGAAAGCTTAGGTCTAGATTCCGAAGACCCTTTATTGATTTGGCGGAATGTATTCGAGAATGTGCTGTTTGATTTAGAGCACCCGGAACCTATTTACTGGGTGATTGACTCATTGGACGAATCCGACTCCCCGAAGTCCCTTTTAGAATGCCTGGAGAGCCTACCTAAGGCGAAAGTACCTATACGAGTACTGATCATGAGCCGCAATACAGATTCAATATCAATTCATATGGATAGGCTTTCGGATATAGTACCTGTGTCTCGAATAGAAAAGGGAGACGGCAAGTATAATCATCGCGATATAGAGCTTCTGGTAAAACGGGAGCTTCGGCACATGCGTGGCAGCACAGTATTTCGCGAGCAGCTAGTGGAACCTATTTTGAAACGCTCCGAAGGCAACTTTCTCTGGACGAGGTTGGTGTTGGATGAGATTATCGGGTGTCACACAGAAGAAGATATACGGGTCGTGCTCGAGGAGATCCCTGACGACATGACTCGACTTTATGAACGGATAGAGGAGAGCCTTATACGTTCGACAAGGAAGTCCGATAACCAACTCATAAGAACTTTTCTTGAATGGTGTACCTGTGCACAACGCCCGCTCAGTCTAACGGAATTATCTCAAGCATTGCAGCCAAAGTATCGAGGGTTCCTTGACCTAAAAAGAACCATCGAAGATATTTGTGGGCAGTTTATACAAGTCGAAGAAAATGGTGGAGTCAGTACGTTACATCATACCGTACGTGATTACTTCATGAACTCTTCGAAGAAGTTCTTGATCAACGCTGAGGAGACGCACGAGAAACTTTTCATGGATACTCTTACAGTGATAGGAGACCCAGACCTTCGGTGGAGATTAACGCAAGGCGAGCATGCTCTGCAGTCTAGCGAGCCCTTCGTCTTCTACTCGGCGGTCAACTGGTCGTTCCATCTCGATCAAAGTAACTCCACGAGTTCCAAATGTCTCGATCTGCTTGTAAAATTCTTCCGAAGTGATGCAGTACTGACCTGGATTCACGCATTGGCGCTGCTTCAGCAACTAGACGTTCTAATTAGAGCATCAAGGGTCATAACGTCTTTCGTTCATAATGTGAAAAAACGAAATAATACGGAGAATCCAACGCTGCATCGGTTTTCAGATCTCGAGTTCCTTGAAAATTGGGTTATCGACCTTGTCAAACTTGTCGGAAGATTTTCTCAAACTATCGTCCTAAAACCCAGGGTCTTATACGATGTCATCCCATCACTTTGTCCTGCGAAGTCCCTGGTACACCAGCAGTTTTCAAGCTCAGCGAAAATCAAGCTACTTGGGGATGTAGACACAAACTGGAATGATCACCTTTGTCGCCTTGTCTTGCCTGAAGGGGTCCAAGCCTGGAAAGTCACTTGCGCTGGGAAGTATGTAGCAGTGCTCGACTCTGCTGGAATTGTACGAGTGTGGGATTCATCTAGCTTCTCTGAGATTGCATCTGTTTCACATGGAGAACCAGTTACAGCTATGGCCCTGAATGGAAACGGCACTAGATTATCGACTTACGGACTGAAGAACACCAAAATATGGATCATTCCTTCAGGGGGCCTACTTTCGTCGACAGAAAATCCCCCAGACACTAAGGCGTTGACAATAGTCTTTGCCGAAAATGATTGCAAATTACTGCTTGGTGGTAATGATAATGCCATAAGGCATATTCAATGCGACAATTTCGAGGGTGGATGGCAAATCTTAAATTTGAATCTCTTGAAAGACACAACCCGGCATGAGGGGGCGATAGTTAATTCCCCAATGTGTCTCGCTTTCAATAAGGACAAGACACACGTTGCCGTGTCATACAGGGGCGCACCCCTTTCCGTGTGGAGACTTCGTGATGGGCGCTGCATCAATAGGTGCAAAAGAGTACGAGATTTACGCCGGCCATCATTGAACTGGTTTGCAGTGGATCGGGTCACCTGGAATCCAATTACAAACCATGTTCTTGGCATCTATAAGGATGGTCGTGTCTTCAAATGGCACCCCATGACCGACGAAAATATTGAGGCCGACGCACGTTGGGCCGCAGATGAAATCGCGGCAAGTCCGAATGGAAGGTTCTTTGCTACTAGCAGAAGCGATGGCTCAGTTCGTGTCTGGGATTTCTCGAATTTTAGCGTCATTTATCAACTTTCGTCTGAAAATTTGGTAACAGAGTTATCATTCAGTCCTGATAGTCGACGATTCTATGATCTCCGTGATGGGTCCATAAATGTCTGGGAACCAAGTAGCCTGGCTCGTTTTTCGGAATCTGAAGAAGATTCCAGCGATAATAGTAGCGAAGATCAACCATCAACAACGCTACTTAAGTTTTCGGAGCAGAGGACAAGTCGATTTGAAGCCGTAACTGCGTTTGCCCTAGCCCCGGACGACACGCTGTATTGTGTTGGTTACGAAGACGGAGCCGTGACATTATTTCGGAAAGGAAACATAGACGGGATCGATTTAACACGTTTTCATAACTTCCTCCCTGTAACACATATCAATTGGAGTAAAGACGGAAGATATGTGGCAGTTGCAGACCTTGCCGGCGATATTCAAGTCAAAATGCTTGACGGACATGGCACATTACCTGCACCACGTATCGATCTGAATCGTCATAATATTGAGGAAATACTTCTAAATCACGATGGAGAAAGGCTCTTCATCGTAACAGGCGATCAATACTTTCTCTGCTCTACCAAAGAAGGCGTCGTCCAAGCTAGTTCCAAATGTAACGACGAAAATGGTATACGCAAGTGGTTATGTCACCCTGCCCATCAAGATATAATTCTAGGATACGGAACATTAGACGTATGCGCCTACACGTGGACAGGGATGGAAAAATTGTACTCCGCACCATACTGTGAGACCCATCACGGCTCAACATATGGGACTGTGGTAGATGACATGTCAGAACTTAAACAGACGATTGACAGCAGCTTATCTTCATCGGAGGATTATAAGGTTAACAGAGTGGTTAGCAATGCCGTCTTGAGTCAAGATGGAAGTCATGTTTTCTTCCATACTTACAAAGTCACCAGTAAGGGTGCACTTGGAAATGACACCATGATTATTCCAACCGCCAATTTACCAGAAAATGTCAATGGGGTATACCTACCCTATTACTCGGGGATTTCTCGAATCCCGGAAGAAATATCTTGCCAAATTCACATGCCTCTGGGCATCATCCACGGATCAAATCTAATATTTCTGGACCATCAATTTTGGCTTTGCAGTTATTTTATCGACACCAAGGCGGATTTGGGCCTCAGTGATACCTGCAGGAGGTTTTACTTCATCCCTCGAGACTGGATTGGACAAAATAGCGTGGCCAATTGTGTATTGACGGAAGACGGGACACTTTTCTGGCCCAGAGATGACAGAGTTGTGACCATTGAGTGTAATCTCTATGATACAAGTCTCGCATGATTACTTTGAATGGCGATTGATTGCCCGTTGAATATTAAACAGAATCAACGACCATAACCACCCCTTTTACTTAGCCCCTTTACCCTTTTACCCCTTTTACCCCTGAAAGTACCTAGGTATTATTTGATTTACGTAATCGAATTTGATGTGTCAGTGAGTCAGCAATGTTTGAAAAGAGTTACCCCTCGCTAAACCGTTTTGGGGCTGATAAGATAGGGCGATAAGAAATTGAGATCGAGCCCCTCGACAACTTTTTTTTTCTTGGATCAGATCCGATAACAAACATTGATTTGCCCTTGGGGTCACCATAAAGTCGTCAAACGTCAATACTGAAGGGACGGCATTTCCGGGCTGATTCTTCAAATACCTCGACATATCGAGACCTCTTTCAAGATGTCGGCTTCGATTGAGCAGGCCGAGGCCCCCCACAATGCCTACGATACCATTCTCGTATTGGACTTCGGTTCTCAGTTCACCCATCTCATCACGAGACGGTTGCGAGAATTAAACATCTACAGCGAGATGCTTCCGTAGGTCTTATTTCATTAGATTTTCTATAGTTATGCGATTCATTTTACTAATAATCCATACAGGTGTACCACGAAACTATCAGAGATCAGCTGGACGCCCAAGGGAATCATTTTGTCTGGTGGCCCGTTTTCAGTTTATGATAACGATGCGCCCCACGTTGACCCGGCCTTCATTGAGCTCGGCGTCCCCATTCTAGGCATATGCTACGGTCTGCAAGAGATAGCATGGAATCTAAGCAAGGACAATGTCGTCGCAGGCACTAAGCGAGAATATGGACAAGCGGTACAACTTCACGCACCATTTTATTTATTAAGTCCCGACTATTAACGTTCATATCATTTTAGGACCTTACGCCCCAACTCAATGGCAGCCATGCTGATAGACTCTATGAAGGTCTATCTGAGAATGGTAGTATGCGAGTGTGAGCGTCCTCAACTTGATACGCCTAACAGATTCGACTGACCAAATGGATAGCTGGATGAGTCATGGTGATAAGCTAAGTCAACTACCGACCGGATTCTGCACCATTGCTACGACCCAAAACTCGCCTTATGCTAGCATCGCGCATGAGACGAAGCCAATCTTCGGAATACAGTTCCACCCTGAGGTCACTCATACTCCTCGTGGTACCGAACTTCTCAAGAATTTCGCCGTCGGTATTTGTTCAGTCAAGCAAAACTGGACCATGACAGACTTCCTTGAGAAGGAGGTTTTGCGAATTCGAAAACTTGTAGGCAATGGTCAAGTGATCGGAGCCGTCTCGGGTGGCGTAGATTCAACAGTTGCCGCGAAATTAAGTACGTTGCGCTCATCCCCTCCCCTAATTAATTTCATGAATGAGGAAAACCGGATTTCTCCACTTTTACGATTCAAGTCTGAGCTGGATTACTAACGCCGTCGCGATAGTGAAATTGGCAATTGGTGATAGATTCCACGCTGTGCTTGTTGACAACGGTGTGATGCGGCTAGACGAGTGTCAGCAAGTAAAGGAAGCGCTTGGAGAGCATATAGGAATCAATCTAACCGTTGTCGATGCCTCTCAAATCTTCCTTTCAAAGCTGAAGGGAGTACTGGACCCTGAGCAAAAGAGAAAGATTATCGGCAACACGTTCATCGATATCTTTGAGGAAGAAGCGATCAAGATTGAAAAAGCCGCCGAAAACACGCCCAATGCCGGCAAAGTAGAGTGGTTTCTTCAGGGCACCTTATATCCCGTAAGAATATTTCGAGCCTTCCTATATTTAACTATTAATCATGTGGTCTAATTTTCTATCAGGATGTTATCGAATCCATCTCCTTCAAGGGCCCTTCTGCAACTATCAAGGTATATACTCTGTGCTATTTAGAACTCAATATGGATTTAGGACTGATGATAGACTAGACACATCATAATGTTGGTGGATTACCGAAGCGAATGATGGATGGGCAAGGTCTCAAGTTAATTGAGGTAAGAAAGCAGAATTCTCATCTGGAAGAAAGGCTAATGAGTTCTAGCCATTCAGGGAGTTGTTCAAGGAGTAAGTACCCTAAGTCGAGGAGGATACAATTCAGATGCACCATAATACTAACCTGTATGGTGTAGTGAAGTTAGAGCCCTTGGGCGCGAGTTAGGTGTCAACGAAGAACTCGTTATGAGACATGTAAGCCAGCCTCTGCACCTAGAAACTCTAAGTTATTGGTATAACTGGTACTCAAATACTGGTCCAAGGGTGCACGCTAAACTACTTGTAAAACTCTACTAACACAATTTCGATAGCCATTCCCCGGACCTGGAATTGCTATACGAATCCTCGGCGAAGTAACACCGGAACGTGTGGAGATAGCGAGAAAGGCCGACCACGTAAGTTTAACCAGATTTATTCTTGCCCGCGTTTGAGTTACTGGCGCTGACTTCGTCTAAAGATCTTCATTAGCATGATTAAGGAAGCTGGACTCTATAACGAGATCAGTCAAGCCTATGCTGGCATTGACACCAACAAGGCAGTGGGAGTCATGGTAAGCCACCTCACAATTTGGCCATCAACTCTAATCCGAAGCCCCCTGCCACAAAGTGCTAATGAACTCAAAAAAGGGTGATAAACGATATGAAGGATATCTCTGCTTGCTACGTGCCGTCCAGACTAAAGACTTCATGAGTGCCGAAGCCTACAAATTCGACATGGACTTCCTTATGAACGTATCTACCAGGATCGTCAACGAGGTTGAGGGAGTAAGCTGCGTGTTTTACAACACGACGAGCAAGCCACCAGCCACCATTGAGTTGTCATGATGGGATATTGATTTCTTCGGTCTGTTCAGGATATTAATTAGAGCAGATTATCGGCCATGAGAATTCCACAACTTTTCCTAAGCCATAGCCGGTGGGAAATTAGATCGTGCTCACGCTCGGAGTGATAGGTATCTTAATCTAGTCCATTTGCTTCTACAAATTGCGACTGCAACTATCGCTAGGTAACAACCTAGATTGATAATATACTCTGAGTGTGACGCCACAGGGCGTCAAAAATCGAAGTCTTCTAGCAAACTATTAGTTATGAGACACCCGTAGAGTTCGGGTTATCGAACGCCATCATGATCCCAACCGATAAGAAATGGTATAACTTGTACGTGTCAAGCTCATTGCAGAAATTTGGCTATTTACCTCAGGGGGGCCGTAGAATAAGGAAATTCCCAACCTGCCTTCCACGACACCTTGGTACTCTATTCTACTTGACACCTAATAGCAACCGCTGTCCCTTCATCACCAGTTACGTTTAGCTCGTTTTAGCCCTCGGGTGTCATTCATCGTTGTCATCATGGGGCCTACAGATTACGAGATACCCGCACAGGAAACAATGAAATCCCCATGGGGCCAGATATTAGAGCCACTTTACTCCCCCGATGGTAAACGGGTGTTTCAGTTCATCGACGAACTAGAAGAAAGGCCAGGTGATGACACTGCCGAATCTGTCGCGGGAGAAACCACGGCGGCTCAATATGGTAGTGATAATTCCGCATCATCCTCAACCTCCCTATCAACTGAGGGATCGCGCGGACCTGACGTCTACCACAACAAACGCGCATCTTCCCTTCCAACCGCCAACGAACCACCTTTATCCGCCCCAAGGCGTGACGGCTGCCGTTGGGTAATATGTGCCTGGCCATCGGTCGGAGGAGTCATCGTTCAACTCGGCGGTCCGAGATGCGAACGCATCCGCGACCCCCACATAAATGCCGAGCACGCGTACTACCGCAAGCTGATGGTCTTAGGGGCTAGATACATCGACGAGGAGAACCGCGTCTGGGTCTGTCGGCAGGAGGACCGGTTTGGCTACTGGGATGTTTCGACTCCAAAAAGACCAATCAATATTGCGTTCATCGACTAAGATGCTTCGCTCCTTTCGGTCCAGGTTACAGGTACGGGCGGCGCGAAGGCATGATTAGGAGGAGCTTCGCGACTAGGATGAGGCTGCAATGGGGTGTATCTTTCTGTTTCTTTATTGTTTCTTTTGGAATGAGCACAGCGCCGGTTTAATTCGCATGGGGGACACACCAATGAGGTATTTTGGAAGTCATGGTTTTCGTGGCAGTTTCTAGGTTCAGGCGCAGAACAAGGGGTACTTACCACAAGTGAACTATATGGATAGGTGGTTTTTTCAATGCTGCGTCTCATAACTGGCGTGGAAGCAGGTTCTCTCATTTATGGTATGTGGTGGGTTACGTCAGGTCTCAAGACAGGATAGATAGGTAGATAGATAGGTAACTAGTCCGCGATGGTTTTGTTTCTCAATGCCGCTTATTTTCTCGTGATCTTCAATGTTAACGACCTGAGCACTTTTAATATATAATACCTAGGTATGGATGTAAATTTATTTTAAGGTCCCTATTAACCACACCTTTAGAACTTTTATTGTAGCTAAATTAATTAGGTATAATTCGTAGCCAAAGGCAGCTGTTCCCTACCGGCGTGGATGCCCCTTGAGCATTTTACGCATCTACCGCGCACACAGCGCGGAGTAATTAGTGTCGGGAGAAAGGAGGCCACGCGCACGCACGTATCCATACGCTACAAACACAGAGCCGATATTAATACACCTCGGTCAAGTAGAGAGAAGGCCACCCCTAACCATGCGCCGGCCCATCAGTCGTACACTTGCTTCCCGTCGCGGAGAAACCAAACGGTTATCAGATCCAGCCTGGCCATATCTGCCCCTTTTCCCCCATTAACCAGACACCAAGTAGCCTCATCTACCTATCAATGCGCTCCTCCATACTCACCACCGCCAAAGAACCCGTTCTGGCGCAACTTCTCCACGTCCCCGCCCGCGGCGCGGATAGCCTGCATATACGCCTCGCTCATCTTACGCTTGTGCTCCTGGGCCTCCCTCTCGCGACGCGCCTTCGTCTTGCTGGACCCGCTCGGCGCCACGCCATTCATGAGCACCTTCTTATCACTAGGCGTATAATTGCAGAACTCAATCGACAGCGCTCCTCCCCCACCCCCACCACCACCTCCACCCCTTCTCCCGCCCCCGCCCCCCTCGCCATCACCGCGCATATTACTCATACTAACCCTGCGCGCAGGCCCATGCGAATGCGAAAGCGAACCCTCGAAACCACCAGGCCGACACGACGAGGAAACGGAGCGCGCGCCGCCCCCGGGCGTCCGCGGCTCCGAAGAATTCGAATTCAGGTTCTGCCGCCCGCGCCACGACCGCCTCTTGCGCACCGCGAGCGAGGACCCCGACGCGGACCTATGCCTCTGGTTTGGCGTCGGCGACGGCGGTTCCTCGCGCAGCGTGTAGCACGCCGTCGTCGTCGTCGACGACGAGCCCGAGGAGATCTTGCGCGGCGAGGTTAGCGGCGTGCGCGGGACCCCGCTCCCACCGCCGTTGGTGCTGGTGTAGTGTCGGGCCCCTGATGATGGGGCGCGTGGGCGCGGGCGCCGTTGCTCGCTGTAGTGGCGGCGGTGGTGGCGTGGGGTGGTGGCGCTGCCGTTGTAGTATGCGTCGTTCATGGCGCCGGAGCTGAGGACGGCTGCTTGCGGGGCGCGCGGCTGCGGCATGTGGATCATGAGGCCGGAGAGGTCGGGGTTGGCGCCGTACTCGTAGGGCAGATCTGGTGGCGCGCCGTGCATGGAGAGGTTGAGGGGTGCGGTGTTGCCGCGGTGATGGTGGTGGTGGTGAGGGTGGTGGGAGTGGTGGCCATTCGGCGTGTCCCACCACCCGGGACTCGCCATGGGGTTTCCGGCATCGTAGGACGGGCCGGAGGGAGAGCCGGAGGAGGACCAGATGGCGTTTGCGTTGGTGTCATTGGTGAGGATGCCTTCCATCGGCCACTCGGCTGAGCTTGTGCTCCGGAGCTTGGGCTGTGGGCGGAAGGAGGAACCGTTGGTGTCTAGGATGCCCATTCCGTGGTAGAAGGGGTCGTCGTTCAGACTCGGGGTGTCGATGGGTGTGTCTAAGAGACCATCGTGGCTCTTACCCGCCGGGTGGATGGTGGCGGGTGGTGCTAGCAGACCATCGCAGAACGGGTCGTCGAAATGGCCGTTCACAAAGTTCAAAATATCGTTCGAGTTCTGGTCGGGAGGGATCCTGCCCGTGAGTGGCGGCGATACAGGTATGCCGTGACTGTCAACCGGGACCGGTATGTCTTCTAGCTTGATATCTCCGAAGTCGCTTAGGTCAAGGTTCGCTGGCAAATCGTAGGATGCATGCTCTCCTCCCTTAAACGCATCTGCCATCATTATCTCCGCATTCGCTTCCGCCTGTTTCCGGGGTTTTGATCGATGTGTCGCCCGGCGGAACGTAGCATAGATGGAGTCTAGAACGCGGTTATGTTTGCGAGGGCTAGGGGAACTCGTGGCAAAAGGCGGGCTCGAAGGAGTCGTGACGCTTGGTTTTGGTGACTTTAGAGAAATGCCTTCCAAGCGTAGCAACTCGGAGTCTGAGATTGAACCGCCGCTCAGGATAGGGTCTGCCAGCAGAGGGTTGGTGAGCTCCGCGGGAACAGATTTGCAATGCTCTAGTGGCGTTTCTTCTGGGCATGCCAAAGGTGTACCCAGCGAAGCAGACGTAGCCGATGATTCGCTTTGGGCCTGCCCAGATTGCGTGCCCTGGTCGCTGGCCGATGAGTTGGTGAGGTTGTCATTGAGGGAATCGAGCAGGATGGAAGGACTCGGGGGGTCCTCGAGCCCGACACTCAGTGCCGCAGCCGTGGGATCTGAGCCATCAAAGGTGACGAATTGGTCAAAGAAGTTTTCGCTTGCCACCCCCAGCTCCTCATTGTCGGGCCAATAGGGGATGTGCCCTTGGTCTTTGTCAGTCGGGTAGTGGACAGCCGTAAAGGCCATGGCTTCGAATAGGGGGTAGCAGTTCTAAGCTTGGGAAAGTAATCGCTCTAAGAGGCAGTTGAGCTGTTTTCTGTTTTCTCCTCGGAGCTCAGAAAGATTTTTGGAAAGGTTTCCAAAAGGAAGGGACCTTAGAGGCCAACCGGTGCCCTTGTATCTCGAGATAAGTAAGTCTACAAAACATGAGAAAGCTGCCACGGCAACAGAAGGTATGCAAATAATGTACGCCACGACGAGGCTGATGAGGCTAAAGGTTGATCATCCTCAATATCAAAAACGAGTGAACCATTCGGTAAATTGTACGGAGGAATGTGTGTGAAGCATCAAGAGGGTCTAAGTTTCGAGTAACCCATTCCACCGGGGGAGGGTGCTTTAAAGATGGGAACCATCTTGCGCCTCTCTCTAACCCCTCAGCGAACCGCCGAGTATTCTCTCGTTAGCTATCTACTATGCGCCAATGTTAACCATCCCTCCATGAAAGTGACAAAGAGGGTTATCAAAGGAAGTAACCATGGCCGTTGTTGATCGATGAATAGTTATAATGAATCCCAAGTCCACCGATGCTCGGGTTGGTGTGGGGCGGGGAGGTTGACAAAGAGCCTTTGGAATGTAAACTCATCTCAGGGGAGAACGTGGCGCCAAAGATGGCATCACTCACGATCTAAAACCCTCACTGCAACTTATCTGAAGTGTGGCCCGGAGAATGCCGATGCTTGAAGAAGCACGTCATTCATTACATCTAGTCGGCTATACGAAGATGCGGTGATAGAATTCGAGATGCATCTCTGTTCCTACATATAACAAGATGTCAATAAGTCTCCCCAACTGCTTTGAGTAGTGGTCATACCTTTCAAAATATCGCGCTCATACATGAGCACCTCATCCTCATCCAATATGATCAGTTCGAGTAGCCTACGTAGTATACATCAGGTTAGTAGACATCATACACGTTGCCTTTGTTATTTCTTAAGTAGCTCGAGAAGACATTCTCCAGACAAAGCGTACAGACGTCGGACAACTAGTTTTCCGAAAACAATGCATAAGGCGCTAGAACGGCTTTGTGTTCTCAATAGTAACTTGATTGATACTGGCGTGAAGTCAAGCTCGAGACCGACCCCCCTGTTGAAAAGGTGCCTCATTATGACTATCGACTTGAATCCCCTAGCTATGAAGCGTATCCTCTTGGTCAATCATGTACTCTTCAAGTATCGTAGACATAAATCGCCCGTCATATTACACACGTGAAGGGCTTCACGTGAACAGATTCATGTAGGCGAGATGAATCAACCTCTCAAGTTCTCCAACGTCACGATCTCATCCACCCATCAAACCGACAATGGGCTTCACTCCTTGCTACATAGAAGTGCCAAATAGCTTCTACGCTATGTTCCATAACGCCATATCAAATGCACCCGACTCCCTTAAATGCCTAACATGATCTGCTCATTTACCGATGAGCCCGATGTGATGCATTTCCTGAGCCTGATATGATATGTTCACCTGTCCGCCTTGTAACGCCCGCTTCCTGCCGTTAGGGTATATGCAACAAATCCAAGCAAATTATACATAAAATAAATATTCTCAAAATCAATGCGCCGTCGAACTCGCCGAAGTGGTGGGTGCTGTTGATCCCTGTGGTCGCGTGACCTTCGGCCTCTTGCGCATTCTTGGTATATTCTTCCTCATATTCTTACATCGTGCTGCTGCTTCGTAGGATGATCTATACTTAAGATACCCGAACTTCCTGACGCCAGCTGGGGTGCTAGCGTCTCTTAGAGCTGAGGGGCCACCAAGAGTAACCTCATCATCGTTCTCCCCGTTACAGAAACTGGGGTCAACCTCTAATTCCATGTTGCTATCGTGAAACATCTGTGGATTGAGGTTATAGTCGGGTTTTTTGAATTGTATAGGTTCGGAAGAAGGTGGTATTAGGTTAGAGGAGAGCGGGTAGGGCGACGGCATGGGACTTGTAGGCCTTGAGGGACGCACGTTGCACTGTGCTCCGTTCTCAATCATGGTTGTCATCAGGTTTAAAGTGCGAGGATTGGAAGTGCTGTTGTGAAGACGCGTTTCGGGTTGCCTCCAAGGCCTATCTCCGTCGGGGACCCTTGGGTTAGAGTCTCCACTGGCAATGGGATGTATAACGTGGTTCTCTATAATCTCGTAGTGTTGTTGCGGCCGAGGTAATTGTGTTGGATCACTATCGATTGCCGGAATGATAAGTTGGTTGGGATCAGATTCTGTCGCCGCTCCGGCCAAGGGAAAATTTGAGGGTCCGGCCGAGATTGAAGATGCGTCTATTTGTATTTGTATTGGCATTTGGTCGGTTGGCAGATTAAAATCTGCCTCGCAATTTTGCAGCTCAAGTGACATTGCAGATCGTGTATCGCGCACAAATGTCTGTTGGCTCATCTTCCGAACGAGGCAATCTATCCGATCGCCATCTTGGTTGAATAGGGCACCCGTCGGAGTCGCGAGTGTGGCCATCGTGGGAGATGGTTCTTCGGAGGATTTACTTTTCGGAGAGGGTAACGGATTATCTTCGTCTGATGTTGCGTCAGAGTCGGCCCTCTGCGTGAGGGTAAAATTGTCGAACATCTCGGGCCAAATTGGAGGCGAGGGTATAGGCGGGCAGATAAAGGAAGGACAAAGTTCCAGAGACGGGTCGGTGGGATTTAGTTGGTGCTACCAAAACGACCCACGACGGATGGTTGCGACGAAGCTTGATTTACCAGAGAGCCGGTTCCCACGCTAATGTAAGACCCTAGGTAAAGCGCCACGGCGTGTCCAGCTCGTGGCCGAACCCCTTCTTTTTCCCGGTCTCCTTTCTTTCAATTTTTATTTTCCGATGAGAAATGTTAGATATTGGCATTGAGTGAAGGAACTGGATATGAGCCAAAGCTCAGTAAGATAGATATACTAGGTAATTGGTTAAAAAATTAAAAAAATAAAAAGAATGGAGGTTATCCCGGGGGGAACCCAGTGAATATGGGGATGAAGTTTGGTGACAAGTACCCCAGAAGAAATCGCTACCAGTAAAAGTACATATGTGCGTATGTACACTAGGTATGTATGTACGTAGCATCGAAATAGTAATGGAGCGGTGGCGAAGGCGTCAAGAAGCTCTCGAACTGGTAACGAAGCGAACCACACCCTTGGGCTTCGAGTGCTTCGCAGTAGTGGAGATCTTCCTTGATTCGGTGCCGTTTGATTGATACACGTGCGAACTACATCGAGTGACTTCTATCAACCACTCGCCCGGCTCCTGTGACCATGTACCTGAACTTCAGGCGAGAGAGGCACAGCAATAAGATCGCGTACTGTGTGGTTTTAATTGGGGGAAGTCAACCGAAGCCATCCCAAGTTGGGACGGTCGGGACAACCATCGGTATCGCGGTTCACCCTTAAGTCCTCGACACCCTTGACAATCGACGAGGATCTGGGATGAAGGAAGTCGTTGGAGCGCCTGACGCCAGACGCCAAACCAGCCAAAATCCCACATGTCCGGTACCAAGTAAATCTGCCTATTCTACTTTAGGCAGCTCAATGTTTATCCACATTGGTTCCCAGGTTCCCTGACCGGGGTGGCTCAGGTAGCGTATGCAGCGTATGCTGCACGACAATCCCAAGTGATGCCTCCACGGTTACACTGTGAAAAGAGTTGTAAGCAAAGAGAAGTGGATTCTATTAGATAGCAACACGAACCAATTAACCACATGCACGGGTACCAGCGGAAAGAATGCACTATGTATACGGCAGGTACATACAGTACTATGCAGTAGTTACTGCAATCCTTTTTAAGCTTTGGAACTTTTGAGCCAATTCTATCCAATAGGAATTGTAGGATTGTTCCAGAAATTGAGCGCCCTTACCCGTCCTGCCGGAACCATGTGGAGCCTACAGTTGAATGTATTATTCAAATCGCAACAAAGAGAAGTAGGAACTTTGTCCTCGCTTTACCGGCACTTGACAAATCCGAAGCCACACCCGAGCGGCGATAACCTTATTATTTGGTATTTCATCCTTCGAATAGGTAGATGCTAACTGTTCCTTTTCCCTAAGATTTGTGAATTCTGGACTCGTCTATGAGCTGAGATGCTTACAATGTTTCAACGTTACCAACAATTTTCCACGTGGCAGGATAATCTACATGATGCGCCATAACAACGATTCTTCATTTCCGACTCGCACTTTAGAGGTCGTCATACAATCCGAGCTGACTACGCAGAAGAGGGCTTAGTAGTGTATCAACTGACCTCAAATACTATATTCTGACTCACTATTTTAGCGCGAAGCAATAACCGCCAGCGATCGTTTCGAACTTCCAATACCAGCAGGAATAGTAAATGCAGCTAGCCAATTCTTGGATAGGCGCTCAACCCTTCAGAAGCTGAAGAGAAAGAACTGAGAAGCGAAGGCCATAACGCAGATGTACCGACAATGCCTACTAGGTATGTCACAGCTTTGCCACGTTGAAGCCTAAACACAGTATCTACCTATGTAGTACCTTAGTATTGAGTTCATACCACCAACAGCTCCAAAAAAATGACCTGTCCGAAGTTATCCAAGAAATGATTCCTACACGTTGGACGGCTGGAGGGGTGGAGTACGATGCGCTTGAACAAAAGTGCCTTATAGGCTTCGATTTAGCTCCGATGTTTATCACACTGACAAAGGCAATCCTTTGTCTCTTGATAGTGCCGCAAATTCCAGACATCGGTATTCTTCAGCGACGCTTGGAGGCTACCTACCCATACTACGTAGGCAGGTAATATCCAAAGTTCCAACGTCTCGACGCGCCAAATAGCCTTCCAAGCGGGGGTCTGGGGGAAGGTCGACCTTGCATCCGGGAAAATCCCATTGTATGTTCGCCTGACCCAAAATATCGAAATACCCGGGCGAGGGAGAGTCGTCACAAGGTTTAGTACCGGCCCGAAGGCACCACATCGTATGAATACCACATACACGCATATGAACCTGAAGCCTTATCTAGCGTGATCGACATCCAAGCTCTAACTCGTCATTAGCGTCATAGTGAGACATCGGTAAACTCATCTCAAGTATCAAATCTTAAAGGAACAAACTCTCTTTTTCTTTCGCTTTAATCCCGACTTTTCGAAAATAACGCGAAACCATTTAAAACAGGTTTGACTTGCAGCTCTATCTTAAACTTAAAATCCTTGAAGCGATCCCAAGACTTGGCGATTTAAATATGTACTACGTATCCATGTCGACCTAGGTATGTAGGCCGCGTGGGTGGGCGATGCTAGGTAGTATTTCGTAAATGTTACGCCGACAACGGTAGCAAGAATAACGCCGTCTTGCCTCGGTACTTCCAATTGATCGATGGTTTCTGAGATCAAACTCGTCTGTGGCATACCTCGTAAATGACCACTACCTTCCAAAATCGGAACCGATTCCATGTGCTAGTTTCCCCCAATTACCCCCAAATTGGCGTGCATAGGTCCTAAGGAATAGCAACCACACCAAATCTAAGAACTTTTAGAAACTATTATTTTCTACCTTGATACCTACATCAGCAATATTATCTATTGCGTCTGATGCATCTTGACCTTTTTTTATGTTAGACATGGCACAAAGAAATATACACCAGGTAGGTACCTAGGCTACCAACAAACACATTTGACAGCTCGAGAAAACTGACAGGTCATAAAAAGGAGACGTTCAAAATTAGGGCACTGTCGTTATATAGCCCACTAATTATTATCTAATTTTCGGCGAAGTGTACCGGATCGCCGACAATCGACACCTCTCCACTATTTTAAGTTGATATGCAGTTCTCCCCGTTTTCTCCCCGTGCTCAATTGGACGTTAACAAGTGCAACCTTGAATATACAAGGATAGCAAGCCTAGCAACGTTCAATTCTTTCGACCACTGGCAAACAGTAGATGAAAGTAAGAAGAAGTAAGATTTTGCGAGTTTAGATGAAATTCGCTCATAGCCACTAGGTATTTACCGCCCCCGCCCCCCGAATTCCCAGAACCAGAGACGCGGGATAAACGATTGGCTTAGATGAGGCCCGAGAAACTACTCCGAGCTTTACAAGTGCCGGCCCTAATATCCTTCTCGAACGTCAAGTGGACGGCTTAACGACTTGTACTACGCACCATCGTCGCCATGCGTTACTTCGGTAAAGGAAGGCCAGCCAGTTAACCGTTCGGATCCGGTGCCATGGTCATGGGAGACAGCAAGTGCTGATAGGTACCTATACTAGCAGGTATGTGGTGTATGAATCACGGAGGCGGTATCAAGGGACCAATACGGGGAGACAATAACTCGAACTCTTCCTACCCGAGGTACTAAAACGCCGTAGACCAGTCACACCAGCGGCAAAGCGGTATTACTATTCGGCTGAATCCTGTTGCGTTAGGCGCAGCAGCACACAGCTGGATATACCTTGCTTGACATCGACAGCACCCTTACTTTATTCATCCAGTGCTTCTATTTCCATTGATTCGTAGCTGAGCCTCGCACATGATGACTGTTTGTTTCACTGCCTTAGTAAGGTTGTCTCGTCGTCTATCAACCACGTTATCGTGCAAGGGGCGAGGTACGTAGTTCTGGCTGTAATCATTGCAGCTGCACGCTTTAAAGCCGCCTTGCCAATCCCAAATTCAACCTAGCCAGCGAATCGGGGTTTGTGATAGATATTCTTAATTATCGGGAGGCGCTTTGATGGTTCTTGGAATGCCCGGATCTAATCGGGTATAATCAGTGAAACGTTATCTCGGTGTGTAGATAGGGCCCCCAATCATGATCCATTCTCAATGGTAGGTAAGGTAGAAAGGCACATCGCTTCAAATCTCCGGCGATGACGTGTTACCTACCGTGCCGTAGAGATGATCAGAGTAAACTTATCAAATCTCCTAAGCTAGTTTCTTACATGAACTGGGGCTCACGATTCCTCAGGGTATCCGATCGACATCGCATCCTTCTTAGAGGCTTAATTAGGTAAGATGCTAAGATGAAATGAGTAATCACGAAGATCGTGGGGACTCAATATCAAGTTCGATCCTACTTGGATCCTCAGAACGGGGACGTGTTTATCATATACATAGTAAGTTAGTCCGCAAACCCCTTATAGGTAGAGCAGATACATGCTACGAGACGTTTCATCGGGTGTGGACATCACGGCACTGAATCTTTGCTTCTACTTGCGTTGATGACCATCACTATTCTTTCTAACTATGGAAGCTCAGTGACTTTGAAACACTGTAGTAAGTGCCCTTCTTCGCGCATCGTAGCATGGCCATTGCCATTGCTTCATTTTAGAGGCTTTATATTGTCATTCCGAAGATCAACTCATGCAAGGGGTGACTGTTTAGGACCTAACTTGACAAAAAGCGCCCGAGATAGATAGAAGGTCGCATAACAGTTCACACAAGAGGTGAATTTAGTTCTTGTGCGATGTGTTTATGAATATGTTGTTTATATGTACAGAGGCGGTCATTCTTTGCTGAGGATGCAGTGCACTACTGTTCTGCATGAAAAACGTGCCATGAAACTAACTACCTATGTGGACTACCATCAGAGTCTGTCTATTCAACTACTTCTATCCAACTACTCCTGAAATGAAAATGAGTTTAACAAGGTTGTGTGTATAATGGTAGGTATGAGCAAGTCATTCCTTGGTGGGAGGTCCCGACTGAGCACTGACGTGAACTGACTTCATATACCTACTATATAACAGTCCGAGAAGAATTGTGCCGCTAGCTAGAAAGTAGGGTTTCTACCATGCTCATATATGGAGTCAATAATTTTGATATCCTTAATAATGTTTTGTAGGTAGATCATCAATCACAGCACCTATGCTCAGCGCTGGTTCTTTCAACGACCCCCTACTACTTGAGACCATTAAGAGATATTAACAACAAAGCACTGTAAGTATGATAACTAGTAGATCCCAACCCTTGAATCAGTACCCAGGAAATATACGATTGTACATCAATCAAAGATCATTATATGGCGCTTGTTGAACCTCAGGAGTAATACCTGATGGCGTTTTAGCGAATTTAGAAACCGTCAGGATTCATCTAAGTTGTTAGCATGAAACCAAAAATAACGGAATCATTTAATATGAATAGAAAACAAGATCCCTTTTATAAAAACTGAGCAGATAATTGATATTTTGAAAGTGTATGTCAAGGGTCCATCAGTCTTATTCAACGTGTCAAAGGAAGACGTTATTTCCACTCACACGCACAATTGCAGTTCATATTTGAATAGTTTCAATTATCTTGATCTTTAAACAAATCGGTGAAGTTTCAGTATCAGCCATTCAATGGAGTTCAGTATTCTCTTTGCTCACGAAGTTAAGGGGTTGGGGGGAAGGACAATATTCATAATTATATTCTATGTATGGATACAGATAAATAAAGACAGTATGCAATAATTGAAGTTATGACATTTGTGATTATTTAGGTTATGACAAATGACCCCACTATAGAAGCTTATCGATAGTGAAACCCATATGAATTCTGGTCTTGAGCACACTCTTGATCACTCTTCATCACCTTAGAATCACCAATTCTTAGCAAAGATGTCGCGTATGGCATCGGCGTTCGCGGAGCTCCTGCAACCGTCTCTGAGTTCCCGAACAGTGTTTGTGAAATGCGTCCCTACGCCTACAACCTTCTTCGAGCGCCGAGCTGTCCTACGAGCTGTCCAAAAGCTTTCGCACGAGACTGTTGAGACCTTCAAGAAGCTCGAAGTATGTATATGCACCTGTTGACAACAATATCGGAAGCTTTCATTCTAATAGTGGTACACGATATAGGATAACTCTTCTTACATTGTAGTCACAACCAAACCAGGCACCGCGAGCGGCCTAGTGAACGATTCACCCATCACGCGCGTTGTCATCTCGCAAGATCCGAATACCGCTAGAGATCCAACTACCTCTTCATGGGGTGCCGAATATGATGTGCGAGGGTCTATAACTACCCCTATCGACCCGATACCACCTTCCAGGGCGACAAAGAACACTCCCTCCCTTGAGGAACTAGGCATATCCTATATAACATTCACCTTACACATGTTTGCCGCGAATAGGTCATACTACCATAACCATGCAATCAAGCAGAATCCCCTACACGGGCCATGGCCACCGAATGATGGACCGGAGACATTCATGGCGGCCGCTTTGCGCCAGTGCGTACCGGCAGGCGCCATGGCTCCGGCGTTACGGGACTGGGATGCTGCCAAACAACTGTCGCGAGACTCCACGAGTTTCGCGGAGGAGAGGGCCGAGGGGGCAGCGACTGTCTTGCTCGGGAAAAAGCGTCTTACGTCTACGGAAGTTTTCCTGATGGAACGGATTAGGGCGCGGCGGAATGATGCTAAGATACCGGCTGTTATGAGAAGTTTGGTTGCGTTCGCAAACGAAACGATTCGGGATCAACCGCCTGTTGATCCGCTCCCCGATAAAACTTCGTCTAGAAAACTCGATGATTGGTCGCTCAAGTCTAATCCTAGCGTGGGTTTAGATGCCTCAACTCATGACGCACCTGATGCATTTGGTGGCACCCCTTCAGATCGTGAGGACCTACCACCGAATCCAATCGAAACAGAAACCAAAGGAGAATGATCTAAAGGGTAGATGGCTGTCCGAAATTACTCTTTTCTACACCTAAGGGTCGCAAGGATGCCATATTGAAACCTTCATTCCGTCGATTGAGATATACATTCGAGCCAATTATGTTCGGGAAGGATCATTCAATGATCAAGTCCAACGCGACATGAGATCTATTTTCAAGCCCTCGATATTGAAAGTCGTGGCTTGGAATGTCAAGGAACCTCTTTGAAATCAAAGAGACCCTGCCTAGACGGCTACCTACGATCCCGGCAAACAGAAAACTACCCAGTACTTGGCGCGTTTTGGGCGTTTGCGCTGTATCCTTCGATGCATCGCTCATTCAAGGGATGCCAAGGTTTGATGCCGAATTCTAGCCTACAAACAATGCTGAAACTATTTTGTTTTTGCTATATCGCGCAGCATCACCAAAAAATATTAAACTTGCAAATGTTTGCGAGTTTGCGCCGACATAGCCTTTGAGCTGTGGCTGGTTTTTGCTAGACTCGACAGCGAGGGCAATTGATGACGTGTCGTTGGCTTTGACTCGGGCGCTGCCGTTGGTTGCATGGTTAGCTGCAGGCCGCCGTCATCTATGGTCAAATCAAGGCATAGGATAGACTGCTCCAGAACCCCGGCCCTCCCCACAAGGATCCAACAAAGACTACACCCGACCTGCAAAGCCACGACGTCACTACGAATCTTCAGCTCTATTTGTATGGCTGTGTATAGCCTTGGACGGCAGTTATGGTGGGACAAGCCGAAATGAGTCTGGAGCCACGCTTCCGACATGGACATCTGCCGACTATCCGCTAGGGCTCTTCAGGATGAGGATTACGAGCCTGTCATCAGGTTACCGTATGACGTTGCAAGATCGATTGTCTACGTATCGAATCGCGATCTCATAGGTGTAACGGGTAGGGGATCGTCACACATCACGCTCCGAAGCCTCGAAAGGAACGGTCTGGCATGTTTGTGCCAAGGAAATTCAATAATACCACCATTAAGCCAATTGCGTACCCCAGACTTCATGCTTACATATATTTGACGATGAATCCGTTCGTGTGTCTCGTGTGATTTTATTTATCCTACGTTTGTTTGGGCGGTTCGCAACTTTCATTTATACCTATATACATATATCCGCGTATATACATATTTCTCTCTCACTAATATTCCGTGTCGCTCACACGATACACAAGACAGCGTACACTGACGGAGGCTCTATCGCAATGGCGCGAACAGGCTTCTTCCACCATATCGGCACGTTCCTGCTATTCGCAGCGACGGTGCTCTTAATCATCACCGATATTTCGGCTCCAGTCGTCAATCGCATTTCGATGCTGAAAGTCGACCTCACTAGCGGTTCATCCTCATCATTTAATAACAATGACCGCAATCCCAGTATCACCTTTGGCACCTTCGGGTACTGCGTGCGCGACACCCTAGCGTAAGTCGAATCCACCTCCCATATTTCGCAATTAATACACGAGACCAGGTAACTGACAGCGCACATTCTAGCTCGGGCCAAGACTTTTGCTCCAAATCCGAAGTAGGCTATAACCCCGTCTCCATCATCGACGAGAACGTAAACGGGCTCTCCTTCTCGGACGCGACGGAGGACTCGTCGAAGGCGCTCACGCGCGTCATGATCCTGCACCCGATCGCGACGGGCCTCGCCTTCATCGCCTTCCTGCTCGCGCTCGGCGCCGGCATCGTGGGAAGCTTCCTCGCCGCGCTCATTTCCTTACTTACCTTCGTCGTCACACTCGTCGCCCTCGTGTGCGACTTCGTCGCGTTCGCGATCATCAAGAACAAGATCAACGACGCGGACGTCAGCGCCTCGGCTACCTGGGGCGCGGCGAGCTGGACGCTCCTGGCCTCGGCTATCTGCAGTTTCTTGGCCACGTTCGTGGTCTTCTTCACGTGCTGTAGCGCACGCATGCATAGGCGGCGCGAAAACAGGGTTAAGAATGTCCCGGAGGGCTACGGGACGCCCGGGAGGAGACGGTGGCGCTGGTAGCTCAGGGGTAGGGCGCCAGAGTGGGTTGTAATGTTTGATGTGTCTTTTCGAACGAATTATGACGAGTGCGATGGCGTGCAGTGGATGGGACAATGGAGAAAGCGGTGTTAAAGAGACGGGAAAGGGAGATGTTTCGTTTTTTTACGAAGCATATTGGTCGGCTTTATACCCTTCACAATTAATGAATGACTTTATGGACGAATCGAATGCGGAATTGATACCACTGTAAAGAGAGTTATGGCCTTGAATTTTCTATTGTTAGTTACTTAATGATGATTATCAGCACTTTCTCCTGCGCATGATTATAGCTTGCCATGTGAATAATTCAGAGATCTTCCACTAAATGAGTTGAGGATTATTCGAAACGAAATTTTCTTGCGCGCACAGGTCTAGCATATGCATAGAAAAAGGGTCGCTATCCTCAGCTGTAGAGGACTACAACTTTACCTATCGAATTGCAAAATTTCCTCAAGCAAATACTTAGTAACGGATTGATTGCAGGATCTTTAATGCTAAACTTCAAGGCCTAAGAGAAACAAGCCATGTTGGCCCATTCCTTAGCCCATTCCTTCCAACCTCTTCCCCATTTCCTTTTTCTTGTCGATATGTCTCTTTCCTCATACGCTGGCACATTTTGGAGAACAAACATGATAGACCAGACCACAGCCACCACAGTAACTAGTGCAGCTATGAACTTCCAGAAAGTTCTAGGATCTAGGAATGTCCTTGAATCGGAGTTGACAGAACTCAAACTAGACAGTCCCTAGATACGTGTTTCATGGGTAGTTAGCCGCCAAGATAAATCTTCCTACTATGGATTGTCTGTTTCGTGGCTCTGACTTACCGCCAATAGAAATACCGGGAGGTATAGAGATGCAACTATCGTCAAGATGCGAATCCTGTTTGAGGTTTCCTTCTCTAGCTCATGCCCAATTTGGCCATTCACGGCCATTGCGGTCATGACACTCAAAGCCTGGGCGCTTGTTGCTTGGGATGCTTCGTTCGCAACCGTATTCCCGAGGCCTAGTTTGCCATTGATATGCTCTAGTATGCTTATGAACTGTGGTCGAGAGAGGTCAGTCAACGGAAGTTAAGACGTAACATTTTGGGTTTCCACTGACTAGATTGGTTGCGTCGGACGAGCGCTCCCTGAGTCCCAGAATACAGCTTTTCATGTATCTTACTTCTATATCGAAGTCATCTAACTCCTCAAATATAGCTGCCATCAACTCTCGTCTCATATGGACCGCTATCTTTGGGATTATACTGCGGATTCTTCGACTGAGTTCCGCAGTAGCATCTAGAACAGAAGTAGCCTTCAATAACTCTCGACGAAGTCGTTGAAGCCTCTGCAAATCTTCGAAGCACAGTTTATAATCGTTTTGGGTGACGGCGTCCGTCCCCGAGAAGAACGATTTTCCTTCCTGTAAATGATCATTAGCCTACATCTGTGCCAGCTCCTGTTTGAATCTAATTACGCACAAACTGCTCGAGTTTCGAATTCTGGGCGGCTATGTAATCGCGCCAACCATGGAGGGAAACGAAGAGTATCATGACGTGGATCAATGGATGGCGGGAATAACGAAATTCTTCATCGTACCAGAATTCGTTAAGCTTTTCTGGTAATCGAGACTTAAGGTCAGGAGAGGGCTTAACTAAGAACCAGACGGATGAGAAACTTCGGGAATGCATTCGATGATAAACAGCGGTTTGTCCGAAAGACCATGACTCTTCCGTTTCACCAGCCATACGATTCCGTTCAAGGAACTTGATAGTATAGCATGTTTCCACTACACATTATCGTTAGATCGAATGAATTAGTCAAATCATACAAAAAAGACTTACGGTCGCCACTCCCATTCAATGGGTCCCGTGAGTGAAAACTATTCCATGTGTTGTCGTCATCCTTTTCCCATGGACTGGAATTGCAAACAGACTCGGTAAAATAGGGGAAGACATTATGTTTTGTCGTGAGATTAGTCCATGTCTCTTTAGTGACCAGAAGTCGGTTCCAGAGGTTGCCTTGCTCAATGACACTGCCACACGAGATGAAGAGGTGAGTATTTCATATATCTACTTGGATGATGGATTTAAGCTTCCCCTAAAGAGGGTAAAGAAATTCCGCTAGGGTGTAGGTACGCACTAGAAAATATCACGAAACTGACTGGATGTAAGCTTTAGTATATTGTGAAAGATGCCTGTAATGACTTACCTGGCGGTTATGGTCCCAGAGCAATTTCATATCTTGCTCGCCAAGCTTACGTTGCTCGACTTCTTTATCCAATGTTTTAGAATTTACGAGATAGGAGATATGGGTTGAAATTCTCAGGGGTACTCACTATAGTCAACTCCAGCAACGACAACGATTGTTGGCGTCTTCCAGATTTCCACATTGTCGGCTTCAGCAAACAGTTTAGGCGTCTTGTTCAACAGTTCTTGCTGGATGGACTTTGCATCGCAATTCCAAAGGGCTTCTGGTTTCATTCGCGGCGGCATCTGAAGCTATGTTAAGAAGATCCTTGTAGATAGAACATACAGCCTGACGCAGACACAATTTCTAGGTAGATAAGAGTACGTTCTAATCATTTTTCTACCTAGATATTGAAATTAAGGCCTGGAAAACATTCATCATCATTGAAGCCACCAATGCGAATGGATATCAAATTCAAATGAACCCCCGCCATCTGTCTAGTTCCAGCAAGTATGGCTTGTGACGTGTCAGCGGCCGTATATGCAGATTAGACACAGATCGGCAGCAATTGGGTAACTGCAAAACATTTTGCAGATATGTGGGTTCGTCAACCAAAGCTAGCCGCTATACTGAATAGATACCTAGTATGTTGGTTTTATAATATTGGTTGGGTTATTTCATCTCTGCAGAATTCTCTAACTCTGCTCGTGCCACATATTCTCCCAGAGCTTACGTACGACTTCGTATATAACTTAGGTGTCTTTATTACTCTGTCGTGTTCGTTGCGACTGGCATCGATCCTAAACTTTCACACGAAGTTACTGCTACATCGAGATGATGATGTCCCACCTAAGAGCCATTTAGGGTTGATCCATTTATGAGACAATAACCAATCGTGTTATTTCATTCTTGACATGAATGTTATCTCAACCAAAATGGCATCACTGTCATATATGTACTGCGAGTTTTCCTTTGATACTGAGGTATTCACCCAGGTAGGTGGTAAGTATGCTATCTAATTTGGTATTACTGTTACGACCTCACGTTGTTGTAGTTATGCAAAGCTGGACAAGAGAAAGTACTCGAGATCCCTGAGAGGGCACTTTTAATGGTGATCGGGGTTTCTGAAGTGGATACATCTAGCTAGCTACCTAAATACACAATTCTCAACAATCCTCTTCCTTTCATATGACTTGTATTGTTGTTTTTATAATGGCCCTGTTCATAACCTTCGGACGTAGGTGCTAAAGTAGGTAGTGAATAGGTATTTACCTAGTACACGAGGCATATTTAGGTATCCGCTATTGATAGCTGCGTTTAGCCAATATAGTGGTGATTTACTGTGATCTCCAGGGCTATTTTAAGCCGCAGGGTCTAGAAACATCGAAAACAAAGAACTAGGTGTACAGCAACAGCACTATAAGTGCTGTTTCAGGTAGTGTTCCTTCGTGAGTAGCAACTAGCTGAGCGAAGCTGGTTAAGCTGAAAACCTCTTCTGCAGAAACGAGCTCATCAATTCAGCGACCTCCTCAGGTTTCTCGAATGGGACCCAGTGACCACTATCAACGATGGTTTCTTCCCAGTCCGGCAAGAAACCTCCCTGCTTAGCCGGTATTGACAGCTCCGGTCTGCATACAGGGTCCCGCGTACACGCAATGTAGTAGGTAGGCACACGAACGATCAACCTGTCCTTGTCGAGATCCTTGATGCTATCGGAATTCACGCCGGAATACATTGCTTTGTAGTAACACAAGGGAGCCTCAAAGCCGTCCCGCTGAAACCGCTCCAAAAATCGCTGTCGAAACGCTGGATCTTGGGCGTAGCCGCGCAACTCGACCTTTCGGTCCTTGTCACTCAGCCATTTTCTCATCTCCCCTCTTTGGCACCATATTTGCTTTGTCCAGTCACGAGGCGCACCATGAATGGCATGGTAAAAGCGGTCTATATTCGCTCTTAGGAGTGCAGGTGCATCATCCGAAATGAAGAACTCCTGGTACGCATGGGCAGGATAACCCCATAACTTCTCAAACATCGCATTCGCTTCTTCCAAGGTTGGCTGATTGGTAGATGGTAGTATGTAGCCGAGGGCCAGCAATATGAGGCCCTCTACCCTGGTTGGATGGTGAAGGTATAGCCTCTGTGCGATAAATGAACCCCAATCATGTCCGACCGAAATGACTTTTTCGACATGCTCAGTATCTAAGATATCGACTAAGTCATTGCTGTGCCCAGCGGAACTATAGGCAGCTGGGTCTGTGGGCTTGGAGGTGTTCGAATATCCGAGAAGGTCGGGTATGATTAGGTTGTATTGCGTTAATTGCTTTGCGATCCCATCCCAAAGATGGGCATCATCAGGAAAGCCATGTAGGAGAAGTAGAGTTGGCCGGGTGGTGTTGCCGGTGGAAACGTAGTAGGAATACGTAAAGCCACGGGTCGTTGTGATTGTTTTCCGTTGAAATGATTCCATAGTGATAGAGGCGGCGGCGGCGGCGTGCAGGTCGCAACGCTTCCCCAACAAAAGTAAAGATGGAAAAGCTACAAACGCCTGGGAATCTGGAGCCGGTGTACCGGAGGGTTTTCACTCTTTACAAGAGAGGACCGGCCGCGCGGGCTACAGGCTCTGGCCGGGGAATATCTGGAATGTCTGTATGGTGTACAACTGCTGTGAGGGGATAGGACAGGCCACCGGACGGCGGGCGGCGGACGGTTGTCGGTTGTTGGTTGGAACAAATGTCAAATATCCTATGCAGGTGCATGATCTAATACCAACCAACCAACGTACCTACATAGCTGGATATCATGTTGTCAGATTACCAATCAATACCACACAAACATTAAAATTCATATATTTGTCCACGTTTTCCTCCGCCTTTTCCGATCGAGAGCCCACCCAGATGCCAGCGAACTGTCTAAAAGCACGGTAGGTTTGACTAAAGGCACAGTAATCCACACCAACTACTCCTAACTTAGGTTGGACATGCCTGTATAGATCTAAAATACTTAGGTATCTTTTTAACTTCGGTACTATTACTACTAAAGTCCTCTATCGTTAACTTTGTTGTTGCCTTTGACAACCTTTCTTAAACTACCTAATTATTATTGAAGCTGTAAAGAAAATACTAGCCCGTTAATAGATAACTATCCTATCGCAATGAGCTAGAGCTCTTAAGGAGCTTTTCGGGTAGCTTCATAATAAGAAGGATTACTAACAAATATAAGTAAGTCAATATGATATTACTACTTGATTTCTCCAATCGTGGCTTCTGATGGTCTCACGTTGCAAATCGAATTGACGATAACGTCCTCATAGATTTGGATGGCCTTTGCCTATCTCTCGCCGAAATTATCCGTCAGTGTCTCTGGCATATTATCGGAGGAAAAATCCCTTCTCCTCGAAAGCCAATATACTGATGAATAAGTAGGTATCCTCCTGCGTGCCTCCGATGATTTTGAGCACCTAAATCTCTGGTTTAGAGGTCCTCGCGAGGATTGTGAGGTGGACGGTTTTCATTGAGCCTTGCTCCTATTAAGTGCCCGATTTCTAACAGCCCAACACGCTTATTAGTACTGGCTACGCAAAGCTCGCCTTCGTACCCTAACGGGTACTGCGCTTTAACTAGCCAAAGTGTAAGTAATTAGCCAAGTATCTTTACATATATCTTTCTTAAAGATATACAAACAAGGATTCTTGCTAAGACAAGCAGAGTACATGGATTTTATATAGAAACTCCTTATCTTTTAAAGTATTTGGCTAATTACCTGCACTTTGGCTAGTTAAAGCGCAGTACCCGTTAGGGTACGAAGGCGAGCTTTGCGTAGCCAGTACTAATATGTACATGACGGACGAACCTAAATACTCTCTACCAGAGTCGGAAAAGGAGGTACCTACGGAGTATAACTGAGCAAGACACGGCCATTACCCAAATGTTGAAGGATACCTATGCATCTTAGCATCAACTTATCTTACCAAACCGGGCCTGCAGATTCTAGACTTGGAAATAGCAGACGGCATCTTCCTGCGCCTTATCCGATCAATCTTTACCGAGCCCTATAGACCTCTGGGGTATGATATATGGGGAGCTTCGGCCCACTCGTAGCTTTATCACCCTGCCCAAGACGATGGCCTCGAACGGAATGTCAGGTGCGCAAAGATAATGGCGGGACGCATCGCGACGGTTTATAGCGTGTGAAATATTGAGTCTCGGGCTTGCCTTTGCTCAGAAGTCGGCTGCTTGAAGATGAGCTACGCGCGTGATTACCGAGGTAGGTGAGTTAAGAAGACTCGGGAACGCAATATCTTATTTTCTCTTCTTCTCAAGATCTATACGATTATATGTGGTGGTGATTATTTGAACGCTACATGCAAAATTTACAATTAAAAACAAAATGACATTAGACCTTGCAATCATTTGATCCGGTTGCTTCCTACCTACCTTATGTAGGTACCTATAGCTATGGATATCACGTTCCACGAAGGCTAAATATCAATGACGCAGATGTACCTACCTAGTGAGAGCGTACTTTCCAATTTGAATTGAGTTATAATAAGTATTACCCAATCAGAGTTATCGTGGGCTTTGGTTTAGATAAAAAAGCTGAAGCGAGAGAAAAGATGGCAACAGCAACGGGGACAAAACTGCAAGAACCTTCCTCCAAGTAAATTTATCTCGCAATCAGTTCAAACTTGTTTTTTCATAATTCAACCATCATACACCAAACTTTTTCATCCTTCTTCACCAAACCACAATAACTACATTCAACATTCCTGCTGCTACAACATGTCTCTTCCAAATTCGTTGAAAGAGAATGCCAATAGCAAGAAACATAAGCTCCCCGGTTTTAGATGTTCTGTCAAGAGTCAGTCACGACCTATGGGACATTACTTCCCTCATCCTCTCTGGCAAGGGTTTAAGAGTATCAGGCTCACCTATCGTGAGATTCGCAGTCAGTAACCTAATTTCACTTCTCTGGAGCTATAACGCATGATAGCTAACAACTTACTCTTTGGTATATTAGTGATGGATTTCATAAACCGGATTACGGACCAATGCGGTTGGGAAGAAAAGGTCTTTGACAATTCGATTGTTGATGATTGGCAGAAAAAGACCGATTCTATCCAATCGGGGGTGTTGAATGGAGATGTATTTCTCTCTAAGAATATGTTCGACTATGTAAGTCATCTACCGTGGCTGCCAAATGCGACGTACGTGGAATGTAATGGACTAATGTAACCTACCTAGTGTATCGAGGAACTCCGTGTCAAGGCAAAGCAAGCAAAAGTCACTGGGATTGTCGACGTAATGGATGCTGACATGGCAGTCGCCAAATCTGATATTATCATTCCCTCCTCTTTGGCTGAGGCTTTGAAAGCCAGCGTCAAGTCCTTGGAGGACGTACCTGAAGTCAAGAAAAACTGGCAGCCCAAGTCTGATCAGACTGTCCTCAACCTTGTAGACCCATCTCTGTTCCCAGTAGTATACGGTACTACACGAGTTCTACCTTACGGACATATCCCCCTACATAATTGTACTTCATCCGCTGGCGAAGGGGAGACTACTATGCCATTCACACGACGTCTTGGTACTACGCCTCCATCCAGGTGGGCAAGCCACCAGTGGCTGCCCACCGATATCAACTGGAGCGAAGCTGGGTTGAAGATCGCGAGCTATATCAATGATTTGCACCCAGAAGACCACGACGACATGTACAAGTTGCTGGAGGAATTCGTCGCCGCTGCAGTCACGTTGTGGGAAGAATGTATATCTTTCGTTCCCCTCCGACACCCTCGCATTGGCGTTGATGAGCGAAGCAAACCCAACGTCAAATTCTACTTGCCTGAAGGCGTCCACTTCGCAATCCCGGACAGCTACGTGGAGTACACGATGACCGATGGACGCCGCTGCTATCGAAAGGGCTATGAAAACTGTCGGGAGTACCAGGAGTGGTTCCATCAGCACAAAATTGGTTGGCCTGAGCCACGGATCGGGATCGGTTGTGAGCGTATTATTCCCGAGGCTCACGGAACACCCAGAGCTACGAAGGTGAATCTCCGGACAAGTTTTCCCCTTGGTATACAGGTGGTTTTTAAATTTACCAACATACACCTATCCCCTGAGAAGCCACACTTTAAGGGTGAGAGTTGGTCCGTGGAAGGTGCTCTGAACGATCGGATTGTGGCCACTGCGATCTACGATTATGATGTCGAAAACGTCACCGATAGCCGAGTAGACTTCAGACAGTACATCCGCGATGAGACGCCAGAGAATGGATTACATTACAGCGAACAGGAATCGCGATGGTTTCTCGAGACAGACTCGCCCTTCCAGGAGATCGGACACGTGAACATAAGGCCCGGACGTATGCTTGCCTACCCCAACGTGTTCCAACACCAAGTACGGCCTTTTCAGCTACGGGATCCGACTAAGCCGGGGCATAGGAAGATTCTTACTATGTTCCTCATCGACCCTAATATCCGCATAATATCAACTGGAGTGGTCCCGCCTCAGCGGAGAGACTGGTGGGCGCGCCAGATAGCGTTGATATCTCCATTCTCTAAGCTTCCGACTGAGGTATTTGACATGATTATGAACTTTGTGGAGGGGTTTCCAATGAGCTTAGAGGAGGCTAAAGCAGTGCGGGAAACCGTTTTAGAAGAGCGAGTCAACATAAATCGAGAATGGGAGCGCAAAAAGATTGATGAGTGGGACAACCCATTCGAGGACTATTGAAGTTTGAAGGTCACATTCACGGATGTTGCTAGCATCCCAGAGGAGCTATTTGCTAATTGCTATCTCGGGGCAGGATTAGGTGGGAACTAAAATGAATGAAGGGATAAACCAAGGAATATTTTTGCTGAAGGTTGAGGCTAGAAATAAGGCTTAGATTCTCCCAAGATTAACCACGTAAGGTCGTTGTGGATTGATTGATATAATAAAGAATGCCCAGACGCGAAATAGCTGGTCTGACTGTGATTACGTGTCAGATGTGTGTCTACACCGAGAAATCCGTTCCGTCAGGACCGACTCCGAGCTCCGAGCCGACCTCGGACTCGGGTTAAGATCAATTATACCAAAATGGGGATGGCAAGCCAATTAGCATTGGTCGAGCTGAAACTGCGTAACCATCTAATCTTATCTGATCCGAGGGCGTAGTGGACTTATGTATGTACATAAGCAAGCCGCCGGACCCCTGAGTCTGGTAGACAGTCAGCTTTCGTTCGTATTGTTGGTCATAGAAATAGTGATTCTTTTCCTCTTTCCTTTCTCATCTTGTTCTTTATTTTTCCATTGAAATATACCCTCCCAATATTAAGCGTTGTCGGAATTTATGTTTTACGGTTTCTAGGCGATATACACGTTAGCTAAGTTCTCGTTAGATTCTCCGTCTCCGGTTATACATAGACTTTGAGCGCGGTACTCCCGGATCGCGATTAAAGATGTTGGAAAAGCCACTTCTCGTGATCGATGGCGTCGGTTTCGCCTTGTCTTCCGCTCTCTCAAACCTCCGTCGCTCACTATCTTTCCGCCTGAAGCTTCTGAGATACGCGATGTCTTCTTCCTCCAAGTCGTCATCTTCCTCGGAGCCTAAGAAACCCCGAAATATCGTCATTGTGGGGGCTTCTATGGCGGGCTACACGGCTGCGCGCACCATCGCGCAGTACCTGCTGCCGGACTCGGAATACCGCATCGTCGTCATCGAGCCCCGCGGCCATTTCCACTTCACCTGGGTCCTGCCCCGATTCTGCGTCGTCGAGGGCCACGAGCACAAGGCCTTCATCCCGTTCGGCGGGTACCTCCCCGCCGGATCCCTCGAGGCCGACGGGGGCAAGGTGGCGTGGATCCAGGACCGCGTCGCGAGCGTCTCGCGCGAGGCCGTGAGCCTGCAGTCCGCCGGCGGCGAGGAGATCCCGTACGAGTTCCTGATCGTGGCTACCGGCGCGGGCGCCACGGACTCCCTGCCCAGCCGCGTGCCGGCCGACGACAAGGCCGAGGGGATGGAGCTCTTGCGAGAGATGCAGAAGCGGATCCGCGAGGCTAAGGATCTGGTCGTTGTGGGCGCGGGCGCTGCCGGCGTCGAGCTGGCGACGGATGCGAAGTCGAAGTACCCCGAGAAGAGGGTTGTCTTGGTGCATTCGAGGGATGCGGTTATGCACCGCTTCGGTCCAGAGTTGCAGAAGGCTGCGCGGGATGGGATTACGGAGCTTGGGATTGAGCTTATTACCGGTGACAGGGTGGTTAGCGAGGATAAGGAAAAGGGCATTGTCATGTTGAAGAGCGGCAAGGAGATCGTGTGCGATTGCTTGGTTTGTGCATCCTTTTCCATTCTCCTCTTCGACCTTGAAGCTAATAGATTCCAAAGGTGAACTGTACTGGTCAGAGACCCAACTCTAAGCTTGTTGCTGCGCTGAGCCCGACATCTATATCGGAGTCGGGGCATATCCTCACCAAGCCCACTTTACAGATACTGGATGACTCGCTACCGAATATCTATTGCTGTGGTGACGTATCCGAGAATAACACGGCACATCCTAACTCACGGTCTGCGATGCGTCAGGCCAAAATAGTCGGCTATAACGTGGTTTCCGCCACAGAAGGCGAAAAGCCTAGGGAGAAATACATCCCGCATTGGACGGATGGCGGGATTAAGTTGACTCTAGGACTTGTAAGTCCAACCTACTTTCTTCCAAGTTCACCTATTTTCACATGTTACTTGCTGACGCTAATTCAATGTAGGATAAGTCTGTTGCCAATCTCGGCGGCGCAAAAGCTGGCTTCGTCATCCCAACGAAGGAAAAGAATATCGCTCTCATGTCCGCTGGAGCTTGGCACAAACTGGGCGCCAAACCATTTGAAGACACCGGGTCTGAATTCTTAGCCAAGATCAAGGCTAAGATTTGAACGAGCGTTGGTTTTCCTATATTTACCATACGGCCAGACTTCTCAGGTAGTTTTGGTATCATTAACATATCAGGGGTAGAATCGGAGTTCCGGAACAAGATTAATGGCATCGCGTCGTAATAGAACTAAAGATCTAGACTATTAATAATACCAATTTGGAGATATCTTACCTACACCAAGAGTGAAGCTTTGTGTCATAAGTTACAGTACTGAAATATCCCGAACAAAGCCGAGGAGCAAGTCATCGTCAGGAATCTGAAGAAAGTAGTCGGACGAGCGGGCGTCCTGGATGCCTAATAGGGTATCCAGGCGTATTCCTCAAAGCAGCCTAGGTACCTAGCTTTGGAAAAGAGAGCACCCCAAGCAGCTTACAAAGCTACAAGAGTCGCCACACGTCCTCACGCCCTGGAAATCCATCGAAAGGAATATATGTATTTCGTCTCCCGGATAATATCCTATCCAATCCATTGGTCGAGCCTGCTTGCCGAGCGAGACATTGAGTCTACAGCCGGGTATTTTAACCACCGTCCTCAATTATCTCTAACGCTAGTCTAGCTCACGGGATTCACATCTGGGGTACAGACGACCATGCGGCTATTGGCTTAGGCGATAGTACTTCGTCTTGGCGATGACCTGCTTCCCGGGATTTGACACTTGTTCCTCGTGGAGTAGCGTGGCGTCTCGTAGCGTATATCAACATGCCTGCCTTTCTCTCCCATGAGAGCGATTCTCCCATCGGATAACGACCTATTCACCCAGAACCCACCGTTGAACTTGTTATTCAGTACCCAGAAGCAAAATGAAGCTTCTCGCCCTCCTCGCGCTAACCAGCGCCGCCCAGGCGCATTGTAAGTACCCATCCAAACGCAACACACCGCGACCAGACTAACGCGACGCCCATTGCTACCTACAGACCGCTTCTCCAAGCTCGTCATCGACGGGCAAGAAGAAGCCGAAGAATGGACCTCGATCCGGATGACCAAGAACTACCAGTCGAACGGCGGGGTGACGAGCGTGACGAGCCCGGACATGCGGTGCTACCAGGCGCGCGCGGGCACCGGCACCGCGACGGTGGCCGCGGGTTCCGAGCTGGGCTTCGTGGCCAACGCGGCCGTGACACACTTCGGGCCCGTCCAGTTCTACATGGCCAAGGTGCCCGAGGCCGCCGACATCAACACCTGGGAGCCCGCGGGAAACGTGTGGTTCAAGATCGGGAGCATCACCGCCGTGCCGCCTCTGGGGTCGAGCGAGGCTACCTGGCCAGCCTACAGTTAGTTCTTCTTTTTTTGCCCTCTCACTCCTTCCTCTTACCCCTTAACTGTCTACCTATCTCCTTAACCCCCCTCCCTATTCTACCCTCTACCTTTTTTTTTCCCACTGTACACCCCCCCTTTACCCAGATACTAACTAATCCCCGTCCCCGCAGACAAAAAAGTCGTCAACGTAACGATCCCCGCAGCCGTGCCCAGCGGCAAGTACCTCGTGCGCGTGGAATCCATCGCCCTGCACCAGGCCCAGTCCGTCGGCGGCGCGCAGATGTACCTCTCGTGCGCGCAGGTCGAGGTCACCGGCGGCGGCAGCGGGACCCCCGGCCCGCTCGTCGCGTTCCCGGGCGCCTACCAGCCGAGCGACCCCGGCCTGCTGTGGTCGTACTACCCCGTGCCTACCACGTACACGGCTCCGGGGCCGGCCGTGTGGACTGGTTAGGTTGAGATTGAGCGAGACCAGAGCTGGAGAAGGAGGAAGGGAAGGAGTGGTGAGGGGACGCAGATAAAAGAATATCGTTTAGCTTAAATTATAACATATTCCCGTTATCGCGATAGTCTGCGATAATTGAGTGATTCGAGTGTGCGAACCTATGTATCCCAGCTCCGTATGTCCGAAATCGAAGCTATTAATACACCTTATGTCAACATTAAAGTCACCCAAGTAACATAGGTAGGTAGGTACCTACTGCACATACTAGAGACCAAGTAGTATTCGAAAATCCGTCAAATTCATTTTCATTACCAGTACATCCTCGTAGAGCTCTACCTGGAACTATTTAGCTAAAGCGACTAGAAAAAGCCATGTACTTTGCCCGATTAGCCTCATCCTCCCCTCGAAGTAGCAGACTGAAAACTTGCAACTCTGAGACTGGTGGCTCGACGAGGTGGGCGAGGACATAGCACTACCTTCAACTCCTAATGAACCCATTAAGTATCAACAAACCCTCGCACAGACCTAGCCACTCGAAGTTCGGATTCCTATCCTAAGACAAGTTTCGCAAATCCTAATACGACATCTAGCGTTGTCGCTTCTTGTTCTTAGTGCGGCTACGATCTTCGTCTTCGGAACCAGCCCTCTCGCGATCCTTGCGTGACGCCTTCTTCTCGAGCTCGTCCCAATCTTCGCCTTCGTCATCCTCATCCGAGCCCTCTTCGCTAGCTTCGTCCGACGCATTGCTATCGAAGTCGGATTCATCTTCGCTAGATTCACTGGCTTCCTCAAGGTCAGACTCGTCGATCTCGAAGTTGGATTCTTCCTCTTCATCCTGATCATCCTCATCGTCACTTTCGTTTTGAAGGAAGGTCCAGCCACCGTCCATGAAGAACTGATGAGTGTCGGCCGTGACTGTCTTCATGATCGTGGGCCAGTTCAAGTTCAGGGGACCTTCCGTGAACGCGATATCACTTGAATCTAGCCACTCCTTGACATCTTCTAAAGACTCAATAGGTATTGTATTGATGTGCGCGGGGGGCCGAGTAAAGTCCTTGAACACAAATACTAGATCGAAGTTCTTCAGACCAAATCGCACACGTTCTAGGTGCGCGATTTCAATATCGTCCAGGGTGATGACCAGGAATGGTGGTTCGGTGAGCTGAATAAGACAATCTGTCGAGGGTTGAATCGTGACATTGCTTCGGAATGGCACGCCGCTAAAGCCGAGCTCTCGAAGAGGCATGTCGACCTCGACGCCCTCGTTCTTACCCGCCTCAGCAATTTTGTCCGCGAAGCTCTTGAATTGACGGTCGAGCTCCGCTCTGTGTCGACGGTCTTCTTGTTCCTGCTCGAACTCGTCCTCATCGCCGTGACGGTACTTCCGCTTTCGGTTACCAGTCTCGTCAAATTGAATGTCCGTAGCTTCTCGATAGAACTGTACATCCTTCGTCTTCTTCTTGTTGCCAATGATAATAGGATCTTTTAGGTGCAGATGAATTATCACGATGAGCTCATGGGCGCAGGGTTGGAAGAAAAGATGACGAATGTTAGAGAATAGTACGTCGACTCTCTGCTGGGTGTTAAGCGGCGATTGATATCGAATACCATTCTGGTGAATCTCGACCTTTCCGGGGACACGTTTGCCTTCCATCGCAGGGCGTATGAATACGTTGTCCATGACAGGAGGGCGTCGATCTGCAGCTAGGTTAATATGGGATCATTTTAGCATCTAAAACGGACTCACTTCTTATTTCGACCAGCTTTTCCTGTTCAACAACATCCTCCATATCCTTCTTTTCCTGCTCCTTCTTGGTAGCCTCCTTCTTCACAGTAGAGATCTGTGACGCAATCTCCTCATACCGATCACCGTCACGAGATCGGAAGGTCAGACTCCTAACAAATTGCGCCGAAGCGTCCTCAAACGGCTGATCATCCTTTCTACCTACTCCCTGACCAGGAGAAAGGAAATTGATCCGCAGATAGGACCACTCGCCCTCATCATTCTTGCTGGCGTTCTTGATGGTGTGTATATGGAAAGGTACCGGTCGGCCCATGATAGGGAGAACGAGGGTGTGGTTCTTTTGATCGACTAGTATCTCGAGATTCTTCACTTTAAGAGGCATTTGGTTTTCTCGTTTGTACGACTCGAACTTCTTGAACTTCTTCACCTCAGCACCATCCGGGCCTCCCGTAGACTCAGCAAATCGAGCCATGCCTTCCTTCTGCTTCTTAGCCGCAAGCTCTTTCTGGTGCTCCCTACGCCTCTTCTCTTGGTCTTCGTCTACCTGAGTAGTGCGCTCGGATCTTAATCGGGTGCTAGTGATGTTCTTAGTAGCCACTGCGCCTACACGGGAGTCCTTCTTCTCCTTCTTTGGAGTAGGCTGCATCTCCTCGTCGTCTTTGAAAAAGAATGAGGTCGCATCGAGGTCACTAGGGGCATCTCCAGTGAAAACGACTGGATCGCTGTTGGTCACTCGGATAGTGTCGATGAGGACTAAGGAGTAGGTCTTGCTAAGCTTGTCCTTTGGCGTCAGGTTCTCAATGTCAGTGAAACCAGTTGTTATGCACAACGTCATGCCGTCTTTCAAGGTGCGCGGGTTCTTGGCGCTCAGCAATAACGTCGGGTCTTTGCTCTCAATACCGATACCTGCTCCGACATTCTTGAGGAAATGTTTCTCCAATTCGGGCTTCTTGGATTTGATATAGCTCAGGGCCTTGCTGTAGACATCCTTGGCTGCTACACCATCCCTTATCTCTTTAAGAACCAAGTTGTGGACAGTGTAGAGGAATTTGTAGGTATTTTCTTGCGCCTTGTTCGGATCGACCAAGTACGTTCGCGCGATGGAAGAGCAGTATGACTTATATCGGAGACCCATGCCGGCGATGATAACACCCGGGTGAAGGTTATCGGCGGTAGGCTCTGACTGAAGCTTCAGATCATATTTGCCACCACTCTGCACGGCGGGACCAAGGTACCAATCCAGAGACGAAGGGTCGAAATCCGAAGGGAGTTTCTGCTTGTTGGGTAGTTCGACCGTCTTCCACCACTTCTCGTCGTCGAGCTTTCTATCAACCTTATCAGCGAGCACGCTGTGCTTCACCTTCTTCTCCTGGTCAAGAACATCGGACATCTGGTCTAGGAAGAAGGGCGTCATCAGCGCAACGCAAGCCTTGGACGCCGCTCGCATCGCTCGCAGCTCGGTTTCGTCTTTGACGGATAAGGCGGCCGTCGACAAGGCGGTGGACACGTCAACCTCCTCAATATCTTTACATTTTTGGCTGAAGATCTTTTTCCACTCATCGACGAAGGGACCGCCCGACTTATCCTTCGCGATAACACCGACTTTTTTCTGGTGAACCAGGTTAATCGAGGAGGCAAGAACGAAACAGAAACAGGGACTACTCACTCCTGCAGAATTGATGGTGTCGGTAATCTTGGTCCAATGCTTCTCGTTCGCCGCCGCGTCCTTGCCTCGAACTAGAAGTTCGATAGGAAATCTTCCGCCCTTTAGGGGCTCCAAGTGCTTAGCTGTATATAGTCGTTAGCCGCGCGATCGCATAAATGAGAGAAAAAAGGAATGGATGGTCGCCACCTTTCTTGGCCGTCGTGACTACATAGAGTGTGTCGATAGTTAGGAGCATGAGAGTGGTAGGGAATTCGTAGCCGAGCAACCAGAACTAGAAAAGGCGAAGCGGGTCAGTATGCATCTCGAGAGAATAATTAGAATGCGAAGAGGGTGGGCGAGACATACGTGCATAGCATTGTTCTTCTGAAAATCGGGATTCTCCTCGACTTTGCCCATGTTGATGAGAATGGAAGATGCGCCATTGAAGACGGCGTCTCCGGCGCGTTTATCGGCTTTCCAGGCATTAACGAAATGATTAATGCGCTCCTGGAAGAGCTTGCCATCGATCTTGATGTCTGCCATCTTTATAGTTGACCCGAGAGTGGTCGGCGAAAGATGACAGATAAAACGAAGATAGATGGCGGTCGAAAGTGGTAGGGAAGATTAAAAAAAAGAGGGATGGAGCAACAAAAAGAAGGCTGAACGTATCAATCGACTCCTGCTCCAAGAAAAAATGGGATGTAAGGTGACGCGAGCTTGGGCGGTAGGTCCCACTCTTTTAATTCGCGACGCGGTTGATCGGTTTAATGGGCTCGATTACCTAATAGGTACGTACAGTTCCCCGGACAGCCCCGGAATATTGCTTACATAAGACCTCCCCCCTTTTCCCCCTTTTTCCTCGGTAGGCAGGTACCTTAGTAAGGATGAACGGACTGCGAAATATAAGGTTTTGATAGTAGTTGAGAGAAAGCAGCAGCCACCGAACTATTCCTGAGGAGTCGTAAAGGTATCATTTGTTTGTGAAATTTCTGTCAGATCTTCATTACTAGGTACCTTGTTGTCTTCGTTCATGCTGCCTATTCGGTAGTAAGAAATACTAAATATAAATCATTGTTCTCCATGAACTACCTATTCTGAGGCAAGGTACCCCAGATAGCCATCACAGTTTTCTCTACCCCCGAGTTCATGACCCTCACCCAAATTGTCGTCCATAATCAGTGTCATACCCACTATCATCTTCTGGGTCGTCAATTGAGGGAGGAAGTCTGAAGCCATCGCTTGGGATATCCTCATCCTTACCACCATTCTTTTCTATATTACTGGTATCGTTGCCCTTCGATGAGTCGCTAGTCATGCCACTACCGGAATTAGTCTCAGAGTTTGATGAGAAAGAGTTAGAAGAAAGGTCTTGCCTGTTCTTGTTTTCTTGAACATTACTTTTCCCTGATGAACTCGACGACGAGGACATTCTCGCTAAGAGAGAGATGACCCCTTTTCATCTCGGTTGCGTTGTCTACGGCTCTTTGATTCTAATATATGTGCGAAATATGGACTGTGTAAAAGCTCATAAGTGTCCAGGACGAGTTGATACAGGGGTACCGTAAAGAAAAGGATGAAAAGCCATATGTTCTCAAAGAATCTTACTCCAAGTCTCAGAGTAGGATATTGAGACTAGACACAGATACAATAACGAATGACAGAATTGATTGCGGGTACTATGAGTAGATTCCTAGGTACCTAACAGTCATAGTGTATCAGACATGCTACCCTATCTAGGAGTGTATGTGTACAGGACTCACGGGTCCTACCAGCTGCCGGAACATTTTATCCAATACCGGGCACTTGCCTTATCCTGTTAAAAAGTCAAACAGCAATCTAATCATAGTCATGACTATGATAATGAATGATACCGTAACGTTCATTGTCTTGTCACTCAAGACCGAAGTGGATCCATTCTCAATCAATTACGTCTCTAATAAACACTTCGATGTCTATCTTTTCATCAGATATCGTCACTCCTTGGGATTCATCATTCAATTATATACAGGTACTTATAGACGTGTTGTTCGTACGAAACATTCAGGGAAAAATGGGGTATAATGGATTAGTACAAACACGAAAGGTTTGGTCAATTTACGCTCGCGGGGCTGCTTGCAGAAACTGGCGTCATTGGAAAGGTGTAAAAACCCTAGGGCTAGCCTGAAGAACAGCCTTTATGAGTACAATGAATACATTCACACACCTTGATGTAATGTAAGGCCATTCGCAATTCGTCTATACCAAGTGGCCAAAAAGACGGGGTTGCACCTTATCTAGAGCCAGTTCTTACAGTGCCGGCTTGGGCGAACCCTTCTTCCCCGTATTCCTTTCCAGGCTGACGATCATAGCGACGTGGTGACTGAGCGCCACTATCTCGCCCTCCACATCTCTGACCAGCACCTCGAGGTCAAACTTCCCGTCCCTGATCTGCTTAGAAGTAACCCGCACCGCCAACCACTCCGCGCCCTCCTCCGGCAACAGCTTTTTCACCTCGAGGTTCATGACGACCGTAGGAAACCACAGGGTCGCGCGCTGCTGGTCCCTCTCACGCACCTCTTCCGCCTTAGCATCCGTCGACCCCTTCTGCGACGCCTCGAGCAGCGCCCGCAACTCCGGCGCAGCTAGGAACGTGTGCAGGTTCACCGGAAACGAGTCCACCACGTACGCCAGCGCGCCCTGCGTGACACGCTCCCCGCTCGCCGAACAGATCCACATGTCCAGCACCCCCGGGGCTAACGGCCCCTGACAAGGCTCGTAGAACCGCCAGTTCAGCAGCGAGCGCTGCACCGCGGCGACGGCTTCCGGCACTTTGGTCTCCTCCCACGTCCCGTCCGCGCCCTTGCTCTTAAGTGCCTCGAAGTCCGGCACGGGAGGGAGGGCCGCGGCCGGCGTTCCTTCGTAGCCCGTGGGCAGCGACATGCCGGCGAAGGCGCCGAAATTAATGTTGGTCGCGTAGGCGAGCACGACGCGGCGCGAGACGGAGGGCGTGATCCATGGCGCGTTGGGCAGAAGCGCGCCTTGCCACAGCGTTACGTGCACGGTGGACAGCTGTCGGCTCAGCTTTACGTCGTCGATTACGATGATGGCTGGGCCGACGGCGGTTCGGCCGGGGAATTCGAAGTGTGCGGTTAGCGTGTCGGGTTGGTTGCGCGAGGAGAGGTGGGCGCGCGCCGCGGCGAGCATGCAGGAGCCGGCGTAGCCGCCATTGGGAACTAGAACGGACGGCGCGAAGTCAGAAAAGCTATAGCGAGATAATCATATAATGGATGATCTCTTGAGGACAGCGTACCTGCGCCGATACAGAACGTCTCATTAAGATTAGCTCTGTACGTGTGGGAGTCTAGCTTCTCTATCTTTGTAGCCTGGGAAAAGGTGAAGAAGCCATCTTTTGGTTTATTGGAGGTCATCATGGAGACTTGGGGTTGTCAGGCGGGGAACAGCGCAAAGATAGAAGCTAGGAACGGCGAAAATCAGGCGGTAGGGCCAGCCTAGCCTTTAAAATACAGCGCCATACTCCCGGTTTTTTAGCGCTATAAGCTAAAGGCTGCAGTCTACGTATAGCGCACCACCCCTGTATAAAAATGGGTTGAATGATTATGGTTAACATCCGGTTTTGGCGGGAGAATATCGACGTAGTTTACAGCAACAGCAAGAACATCAAGGTTAATATTAACCAAAGAAACAGGATGCTTTCCCTTTCCTTTTGATACACATATAAACAGATATTGCCCGCACATTTTCACTAACATCTATTACGATGGGTCACTTACCAACGTTTGAGAAGCTATCGCCTCACCAAGACATCTAAGCAAGAAGGTCAATAACTGCTGTGTCGTACCTATGCCGGCTAAAGTGATCATTGGAACCAATATGGCTATGAATGATGAACAGGGATACCAAATTCTACACGACGGGTTTTGTTCTTTTGAATTGAAGGTTAAGTCAAGACAGACGAACTGCGATTACTTGAGCGCTGTGTGATTATGGCACGGGATTTTCGAAGATGTACCCAGCCAATCAGGAGAATCCAGCCTCAATTACATGCTAAGTAACATGTAAGCCGCGTGGTTTTCCAAGACTAGGTAAGTTCCAAAAGTACCATGCTTGAGGCACTTAGATTTTGACGTCTTTTCTTGCTGTGACGCTTAAGGCCGGATACCTACATCCCGACAACTGTGAGTAGATAGGTGTAGGATAGGTAGGTGCTCAGTGCAGCTTCTAGTATCTAATGATGTTCATTTACAAAGACATCTATCCTATAATATACTCCAATACAGCGGTAGTTACTATCGATCCCATTGCTATGGACCAGAATTCTTTGGTAAGCTCCACTTGAGATCGACCCCTTTCATTCAATCTCATACATATATATTTCTATCCATACCCCTTTCAATTCTAGACCCTCCTTTCCTAACTGGTATCTTCTAACAATATACTGAATAAAACCCATTATACCACCTAACCAAGCAAGTTCTGCTTACCTTTTAACTGCAATTACGTGCCGGATCTCAAACTTGGTAATGTCATTCGAGGGAAGCTCGTCGTCTAGTTCGTCGATTAACGCTTCCGTTAACTTGTACGGGTTTTCCTCGCCGACATGGTCTTCACCACCGCTTTCAGTCCACCCATTCTCGCTATCCCAGAAGAACGACCCTTTCGGTACGCTCTCAAACTCCCACCGCTCCGCTGTACCAGCAGGTATCGGGGTCGGCTCCTCATTGACGACAACCAGGAGCACTTCCATATGGTAGAAATATCGGAACATTCCCGATATTAATGCGTCCTCTTTGCGGAAGAGTGCTTCCGGTATAGCAATGCGCGTGGGCTCCGTTTCGATGCTCACGAGCTGCCCATACAGGTCCGGCTCCCACAGCCGGTCGTCAGGCTCGCAGCGGAACTCGTCCCATTTGTCAAAGGGGACGAACAGCACATCACGAGATGGTTCGAAGGGGCGCCAGAAGAGGGGGTACTGCCCGCCCTTGCGAGGCCGCATCTTGAAGCCTTGTTCGCGAGCCCACGCTAGGGCGATGTTGCGGGCCTCGCGGTTGACAAAGGCTAGCGGTAGCTCGAATTGGATATCATCTAACAGGTCGTAACGAAACTCGAAGTTCAGGTTGTGCTCGTCGTTGGAAGGGTCAAATCCCTCGTCCGACTCTGTTAGACGTCGGGGCCGCCAAAACCCTTTTCTGTAGATGAAAATGGCTGGCCCGAACTGGCCAGGTAGAGCGTCATGCCATATCTGATCACGTAGTTCAGGGGGTAGGCAAGAGAATGGCGAAAAGCTGGATGAGTTGGCTTCTGTTTCTGTCATGATCTTCGGTTTGCGCGGTTCATATCCGTAGTACGAGGGGTGTAAAAGTGTCAACGGAATAAGAGAGATGAGGACGAAGTTTGGAGTGGAGCTCTAGAACTCGAATAACTTGCTATTGTACCTTTCTAATAATATTTCACTATAGCAAAATTGGTGAATCTTGACTATAGGTGATGTAATGGTGCTGTTGGTAAGATTTTGGTCGATCTGCATAACAAAGAATTAAAGTGGAGGATCAGACGATTGAAAGGGGGATTAGGCGAAATCTAAAATAAGAGCAGGAATAGCTAGCTGGTATTGAACTAGGCGTTCCCCGGAAATATTTCATCCCATCTACCTACCTAAGTAGGTATCCTGAATTTCACTTGGGTAATGGAAGCTTACCAGACTGCCGGGGTAGTCTCGATCGATGGGAAGTGATTGCCATCCGGCCGACAGCTCCATGTGGGGAACCGGGAGCGGGGATGAGGCACGTCAACGTCGTTGAATTTAGCGTGAGATTCCCCTTGCATTAAGGAAGTAGCAACGGTCAACATCCCACTATACGGTCTGCCTCACTAATTAAGTATTTACCTAAAAGATATCAAAGATATCTCAGTGTACTTAAAGACTCATTCGTCATATAAATGCTGAATATTAACATAATTAGGTATCAGATTCATCCATGGATGGATATGCATAAATCGTCTGAAATATCTAAGGCTTAAGTAATCACCTCAAAACGTGATAGCGTCTTCGGTATCATCCGCCCTATATCCCCTGCAATCCACCACGTCTCATCCTACATCGTGGCTTTTTGACAATCATCGGAAACGAATTAATATGATTGGTCAATTTGAAAATAAACAACTTTGAAATCCGGTTTAATGAAGTCTGCCGGTCTTCCAACGTTTTGAGTTAACTATAATTACCAACAACTGCTAGTTATGGGCATAGCCTTTAATATATGGGCCTTGTTTCTATACTCAGCGCTTAATCTTTGGATATCTAGACCCATCTCAACGACCCAATATTAGCGCCTCACAATAAATGCCATACTATTTCGGCAAGTAACAACCGATTGAAACCTTTTAGCAATGCAACATAATCCTTAGGGCACAGCACAATAGAGCGGTAATTGAGTGTGTTTTACGTCAAATAACTAGATTTCCGAACTATGCATGCTCCACATATTCCTGAAAGTTGCTATTATAGATCTTGAATTGCGGCGTGGAATATTAACATCAAACAATACGCCTCATGTATACCCCGCTATATTCCGCCAGGGACATGGAAATAGCTTCCAGTGAAGCAACTATCACCTACGGGTTCCTCAGTCTAAAGATGTCTAGGAGCCCGCGAGCCCCTGTCGTTGTTATCAATTTGAGGATAGCTTGCTCGCAATCATAGACCATTTCAGGAGTTAGCATGTGGAGTAACCACAAGAAATCCTAAGCACCTACTCAAAACATCTCGCTACAGCTGACTATTCAGCCTTCTTCCCGTATCCACCCCTATGATCTTCACCTTACTTTCCATGTCTTCATCCCGCCTTCTCCTAGGGTTATACGGCAATGTAAATGCTTGTTCATAGGATCTTCTCAAGTGAGACATACCCAAGCATTGTGGGTATGAGTTCGCAGGATTCTCTTTGGATGAGAGCTCTATGGAGCATGGTATCGGATGAAGGCAAAAATCTGGGATGAGTTCAAGAGCAGATAGCCTCAGGGTAGGCGGAAGAAGAATATATAAACCATCAAGATATCCCGAGTAAAGGCAATCTTCACAACACTCATCACAACACTCACAACATCCACAATACCTTCAGCAACCTACAAAGCTATCTCTAGGAACATATCCAAATTTACAGATAACTACTTCTCAGCCAACTCAAGCTTCCTCACCAACTATCCTCACCATCCAATCCATCAAAATGTTCAACATGAAGGTCCTCTTCTTCGCTTTCCTGCTCCTTGCCACTGATGTGCTGGCCGCCCGCATCAACTACAGCGCCAAGTACCACGACGGCAAGAAGGTCGCCCGTACTTCTAAGAACGGCGAAGTTGCCGACAACGTAGCGCAATCCATCCTATCCGGAATGCACACGTGGTCTGGCGGTGCCTACCAGGCCGGAATGTCCAAGTACGGCTTCATCCAGATCACCAACTCTCAGGTCGCCGCATCCAAGGGCGCAGCCAGCGCGCAGGTGCAGCAGATGCAAACCCTCATCCACCAGCACGCCACGGCCAGCGAATAGTAAGTTCCCATATGCCTTTCCCGCGAACGGGCAGCCTTTTGATAAGAATGCTAACATGGTCAGAACTCCGCGTGCGAACTACTACCGGAACTAACAAAAACTCGGAGGAAAAGAAGGATCAAAGGTAGCTATTAGTCGTTGTATGGAGTTCTCTACCTGGTAGAGTTTCAGCTCGGCCGACTATCAGCGGGTTTCATTCGTTTTGTATCATTACTGTAACATCAAAGGTGTATATATGTACTCATGTATATAGGGGCTCGTTTCCTTGATGTCAATAGGTAGATCTCTGGTTTAGACAAATTCACATTTTTATGCTTCATCTGTAACGAGCGCTTCTACTCAGTACCTAGCACATACATTCCGATAAAGCTAAGAGTAGAGCCTTACCCTAGCCCCTGGCCCAAATAGAGTAGCCCAAAACTTCAAGTCAAGGTTGCAGTTTCTTTAACATTTAATTGATAGTTAAGTACATCTATGGATTAGTAGATCTAGGCATGGCTCCCTAGAATAACTTCTTACTCGTACTTATATATCGAGTCACCTTTCGGCTTAACCGCTCAATGCCACTGCGGAAGTTCTACGTCACCAATGCATTAAGCTTTAGACGGTATGATACGTTCTCTAGTATTGTCATCATACTACTAATTTAGTCAATTAAAGTCCTCAAAATCTACTACTATCAGTAGGTAGCAGTGAAAGTCGTATTACTTCAATACCATATTCCCCTCAGGAATTAATACCAAAACGATATTAATGAACGAATTACAAATCCCAAGGAAACCTTATCCTACAAATCATATTAGGTCAATATTTTAAGAAAGAAGTTTAGAGACCAATCGCCCACCCCCTCTCTCATCCTAGGTATAAGACAAGGCTCTCAGTCTCTCCCCTCTTTTACATTGTTCTCCTAGGTAACTCCTCCTAGTAAACCGCTGGTATATACGGCCTCCAGTATCCATAAGACATATCAAGGCACAAAATCTTCAGATCTTCAAGATATATGTTAGCTTTATTTCTCAAAAGCCACCCTAATCAAAATGCGGCTCATCAACGCTCAGACCCTAGAGCTAGCAAAGTTCCTTGAAGGTCGAACACCTGTACAGGTGAGTAAGTTATTCTCTTTCATCGGTAGAGTGAGAGAAGCTTCATTTGAGGATTTCAGAACTGGACAGTACGGCTCACAACATAACGGCTCTAAAAAGGAAAGGGGTTCCTGCTCTCCTGCTAATGGCAACGCAATCCAAGAAACTTGGGGCGACACCTGTCGTATTGACAAGAAGAGCGTGGTCGAACTCAGTGAATCTATCAACTATATGTTCAAGTGGTATCGTGCTCCTCAAATCTGCTACGTCTATTATCTCTTCGACATAGGTGGTGCGATGCCTGATCAAGAGCCTCAACCTCACAAATTCAATGATTCACTCGGGGATGAACGTTGCAAGAGCTACTTGCGCCAATTTGGATTGCATTCTTCTCGAAGACATGGAACTTATTGGGATCTAAGTCCGATTTAATCAGCATATTGGTCATCCATTACCAGGATACCATCAGGTTGGAGAGCTTGTCGGCAAGTGTACCTAGAAGACTATTAAGGAGTTAGTACCTCTTTTTATAACGTTAGCGACGATTAGGTTAGGGAGGGTTGTTAGGGTGCGACAGCAAGGTATGCGATGAGGGGGGGGGGGGGGGGGGGGGGGGGGGACAAACAAAAGAAGAAACAAGTATGGAAGGGAGGTTTTTTTTTTTGTAGGTTGGGGTTTTAATAAATGGTCAGCGGGGGTTGGGGTTTGTGA